AGATGTAACGTTCAGGTAAGACAAAGCTTGTTCACTATTGCGCATCTAGATATTCTGCAATGATTTTTCAAATTGGATGCAATTTGCAGGATCAATGTAGAATTAATATTTCGACTCGGGAAAGACTCGGGAATGAGAACAAATTGTCATTGCACTTGGACAATCTTCTGACACTGATTTATGGTATTGATCGATATTCGATTTTCATTACTGATTTACTCTTTCATTCCTCTACAAGAAAACAAAATTGATACGACTCGTTCATTTATCCGCGTTAATTTGATGAATAAATTAAATATTGATCGGTCTTCAATTTTCGGTACTGATTTATTCTTTCATTTCTCTATAAGACAAGAAAAATTGATACGAATCAATCGTTTATTCGAGTTAATTTGTTGAGTAAATTAGAAAGATAAACACCCGAAACATGAGAACAAATTGTCATTGCACATGGACAATTTTCTGACATTGATTTACGGTATTAATCGATATTCGATTTTCGGTACTGATTTACTCTTTCATTTCTCTATAAGAAAACAGAAAATTAATACGAATCGTTCATTTATCCGCGTTTGTTTGATGGAAAAATTACGTATTGATCGGTCTTCGGTTTTCGGTACTGATTTATTCTCTCATTTCTTTATAAGAAAAGAAAAATTGATACGGATCGTTCGTTTAACAGAGTTAATTTGTTAAGTAAATTAAAGGGGTAAGTACCTGAAAAATAAGAACAAATTGTCATTGCACTTGGACAATTCTCTGACACTGATTTACGGTATTAATCGATATTCGATTTTCGGTACTGATTTACTCTTTCATTGCTCTGTAAGAAAACAGAAAATTAATAGAAATCGTTCATTTATCCGCGTTAATTTGATGGAAAAATTACGTATTGATCAGTCTTCGGTTTTCGGTACTGATTTATTCTCTCATTTCTTTATAAGAAAAGAAAAATTGATACGGACCGTTCGTTTAACCGAGTTAATTTGTTGAGTAAATTAGTGGGGTAAGTACCTGAAAAATAAGAACAAATTGTCATTGCACTTGGACAATTCTCTGACACTGATTTACGGTATTAATCGATATTCGATTTTCGGTACTGATTTACTCTTTCATTGCTCTGTAAGAAAACAGAAAATTAATAGAAATCGTTCATTTATCCGCGTTAATTTGATGGAAAAATTACGTATTGATCAGTCTTCGGTTTTCGGTACTGATTTATTCTCTCATTTCTTTATAAGAAAAGAAAAATTGATACGGACCGTTCGTTTAACCGAGTTAATTTGTTGAGTAAATTAGTGGGGTAAGTACCTGCAAGATGAAAACAACTTGTCATTGCACTTGGACAATTTTCTTGACATTGATTTATGGTATTGATCAGTCTTCGGTTTTCGGTACTGATTTACTCTTTCATTTCTCTATAAGAAAAAAAAATTCATACGAATCGTTCATTTATCCGCGTTAATTTGATGAATAAATTCAATATTGATCGGTCTTCAATTTTCGATACTGACTGATTCTCAATTCAATCAATACAATTTTCTAACGCTGATTTATAGTATTAATCAATATCCGGTTTTCGATACTGATTTAGTCTTTGATTTCTCTATAAAAGAAAAAATATTGGTATAAATTGTTCATTTATCCGCGTTAATTTGATGAAAAAATTAGATATTGAACGGTCTTCGATTTTTGGTACTGATTTATTTTCTCATTGTTTTACAAGACAAAAAAAAATTATACGAATCGTTCGTTTATCCGAGTTAATTTGTTGAATGAGATAAAGGGGTAAGTACCTGAAAAATGAGAACAAATTGTCATTGCACTTGGACAATTTTTTGACACTGATTTATGGTATTAATCGACATTCGATTTTTGGTACTGATTTACTCTTTCATTTCTCAATAAGAAAAAGAAATTCATACGAAATGTTCATTTATCCGCGTTAATTTGATGAATAAATTAAATATTGATCGGTCTTCAATTTTCGGTACTGACTGATTCTTTAATTTCTTTATAACAAAATAAAAATTGAATACGAATCGTTCTTTTATCCGACTTAATTTGTTGAGTAAATTAGTGGGGTAAGTACCTGCAAGATGAAAACAACTTGTCATTGCACTTAGACAATTTTCTAACGCTGATTTATAATATTAATCAATATCCGGTTTTCGATACTGATTTAGTCTTTGATTTCTCTATAAAAGAAAAAAAGATTGATACAAATTGTTCATTTATCCGCGTTAATTTGATGAGAAAATTAGATATTGAACGGTCTCTGATTTTCGGTATTGATTTATTTTCTCATTGTTTTACAAAACAAAAAAAATTTATACGAATCGTTCGTTTATCCGAGTTAATTTGTTGAATGAGATTAGAGGGGTAAGTACCTGAAAAATGAGAAAAAATTGTCATTGCACTTGGACAATTTTTTGACACTGATTTATGGTATTAATCGACATTCGATTTTTGGTACTGATTTACTCTTTCACTTCTCAATGAGAAAAAAAAATTCATACGAAACGTTCATTTATCCGCGTTAATTTGATGAATAAATTAAATATTGATCGGTCTTCAATTTTCGGTACTGACTGATTCTTTAATTTCTTTATAACAGAATAAAAATTGAATACGAATCGTTCTTTTATCCGACTCAATTTGTTGAGTAAATTAGTGGGGTAAGTACCTGCAAGATGAAAACAACTTGTCATTGCACTTAGACAATTTTTTAACGCTGATTTATAGTATTAATCAATATCCGGTTTTCGATACTGATTTAGTCTTTGATTTCTCTATAAAAGAAAAAAAGATTGATACAAATTGTTCATTTATCCGCGTTAATTTGATGAAAAAATTAGATATTGAACGGTCTTTGATTTTCAGTATTGATTTATTTTCTCATTGTTTTACAAGACAAAAAAAATTTATACGAATCGTTCGTTTATCCGAGTTAATTTGTTGAATGAGATTAGAGGGGTAAGTACCTGAAAAATGAAAACAAATTGTCATTGCACTTGGACAATTTTCTGACACTGATTTATGGTATTAATCGGTATTCGATTTTCGATACTGATTTACTCTTTCATTGCTCTATAAGAAAAGGAAAAATTGATACGAATCGTTCATTTATCCGCGTTAATTTTTTTTTTTTATTATATATAAGTGGTCCATGGGACGATTAAATATTCGAATACATGTTGCCGTATCAAAGTCTCCTCTATAATAAACGCGTATATATATAATTTGACGCGTCTGAAGACGCATGATGTATCGTTGCCCGCATCCCATTCCCTTCGTTCTGCTTCCTTGTATAAAATGTCGAATTGAAACGTATTAAAAAGTATTGACATTTTGACTATGTCTGAATTCTGAATCTTTTTGATCCGAAGAAAAGGATTGAATTTTAGTTCCCATTAATTGAATATTAGTTCCCATTAAATTAGATTGAATATTAGTTCCCATTAAATTTTACTGCGCTTAATGCGAGACGGTCTCTTTCGCCCGGGTGCATCACCAGGGAAATTTCTCTGGTACGCTAAATCCCGTAAGGCCATCAGTCTTTGTTTTATATCTCGTCGGTGCATAAAGTTTATATTACTTGTACATACATATTTTGAAACATTTTCTTTGGATATTATATCAAACGGATTTTACGTGTCACGTAATATCCTTCGGACTACACGGACATTATTATTTTGATCATTTTAATTTCTTCGGTATTCATTGAATTATCCAGAACGCGCAACTGCCATGTTGAACGACTCCATTGTCGTGTGAAATGTTTCGAATTTTCACAAATTCATATAAAATTTTTCATTTTTCACTGATTCACAGAAGTCTTTCACTTTTTATTAGTTCACGCTAGGGAAAAGATTCCTGGTCGCTGCCCCGAGCAGCTGCAACGCTTTTCGAATCATCTATGTCGGCGGGCTTTTACTCCTCAGATTTCTGTCATTAATAACTCGATAATTATTGCGAATCTCGCAAAATGGTATGGGACTTTTATGTTTATCTCAACCCAATTTACCCTCACACTTCGGGTTGGCAGATAATTATCGGACACTTCGTATGATCTTCATGATATTAATCATACACAATGTCAATTCTTTTTTTTGCACATGTTAACATGTTAATTCATGTTAACGCGTAACAATGTGCGAGACCGTGCTTGTCAAGTACGCTATTATGATTGTAGCACGGACATAAACCGCCTAAAATGGATGTAGCACGGACTGCCACCACATACAGGTTTTACCGCCGAAACCTGAAAGTGAATGTAGCATCGTAGTTCCCCTCTCAAAATGGATGCAGATGGCGCCCTTTCGCGGTGCGGAAAGTCGGTGTCGTCGAAAACACCGTGTTTGCCGCTTTCACGTTTCTCTGGAGTGTCTGGATAAAGCTAAGACTCCATGCATGCGGTGAGCTGCGGCAAATGCTGCGATGACCAATCAGGAAGGAGGCGCAAGTCCGGTTGCGGCAAGCTCCGGCATGCGTCTGTCTTCTGATTGGTCACCGCAGCCGTTTGCCGGAGCTCACCGCATGCATGGAGTCTTAGCTTAAGAGTGGTCGATAAATCGATATTCGATTCTTCAATCGTCAGAGAATCAATTATTTTTGAGTCAACTCAAAAGAGCATGTTTGGTGGCAAAGCATTGTATATTTATTACATCTAATTATTCTGCTTAAAACTCAATTCGTAGCCTACCCTGATAAGACCCTGAAAATCTACTTTTGCATTTATCCAGATTTGTTGAATATTACTAATTTCAAGGATATGAACCACACGTTAAAAATGAGAGGGAGGATGCATAGGAACGGCACCCAATTTAAGCCAGCGGCACACGGTGCTTGTTTTTGTGCTGGATTGCTTGCTGGATGAAAATACTGCGTTCTGATTGGTTCATTTCCATCCATCTTCGGAAATGTACCAATCACAACGCAATATTTTCATCCAGCAAGCAATCCAGCACGAAAACAAGCACCGTGTGCCGCTGGCTTTAGTTGTCCAACAACTACTTGTAACAAGGTACTAGTGAGAAGCGAATTGATATAGCCTGTGACCAACGTATAAATTGTTACACCGTTAAATGATAATGATGACGAGTAGAATATTAATGTAGTAATAACTATTATTGCAGGGAAAATACGTTTTGCATATTTAAACATCTATGATCAATTTCAGTTGAGATCGAACTTATATTGAGAATAAAAGCAGGTTAGAAATCATTCTCAAATAGTGTTTGAAATATATATATTTACTTTATGTACTTGTATAGATACTTATAAATATATGTGTGTTATATCTTAATTATTTTATTATTTCAAATACTTTATTGAATGAAGAAATGCAATAATGGCTGCACATACTATATATGATTACATGAAGATACAAAACAGACCTTTCAGTGTGAATGATGTAGTTACAAATTTACATAATGAATACAGCAAGACCGAAGTTCAAAAGGCTATGGATGAACTGGTGGCTAATAAGAAATTGTTTGAGAAAGTATGATAAATATTTTTCAGTATATACAAAAATATAACATTGGAATATTAATTTATTGTTCTGATATATGTCAGGTTTATGGTAAGCAGAAAATATATTGTGCTGTCCAAGATTTAACATATGATGCAGATGAATTAATGACGATTGACAAAGAATTACAATCTCACGCTAAGGAAATTGAGAGCAAATATCAAGAGGTCACGAAAGAAATTAAGAACAAGGAAGTTCTATTATCCTCCTTAAAGGCGAGTTTAATACTGGAGGATGCACAAAAGAAAAAAATTACTTTACAACAAAGCATAAAGCAGTTAACATATAAATTAGATACACTGATGGAAACAACTAGCTCTGTGGATTTGCATGAATCTAAAAGAAAGGCACAAAAGGAACTGGATGAAAATTCACGCGAATATCTAAAAAGGAAAAGAATATGCACTGATATAATAGACTGTATTTTAGAAAATTATCCTGGTAGCAAGAATGACTTATCTGAAGAAATAGGTCTAAATTTAACAACTGTATAGTAAATTCTTTTTCTTTCTGTATTGTTTAAATCACTGTGCCTTTAGTCTACCTGAGATATATTCAGCAATGTCACATTGTATGGTAAATTAATAATATAGGTTAAATCTTATCCTGGTGATTGCCTTAAAAGGGTTTCTTATTTTTGCTAACTCACATATACATTTATTTTCGTTTATGATTGTTGTGACATTGGTATTTAGGTTTATTTACACATATATTTATTTATGCTTTTAAAGTTGCTACGTATAAAAAAGTCATTCAAATTGTTTCTTTGACAGAAATGTTATATGCTAAAGTACTTGGATTAAATTGGGTTAAATTGGATACTTATATACTTGGATTAAATAGATCTGTTTCAAGTTACTAAATAATACGTATTCTATGATGTCATTCTGAAATAAGACAGCATTTATTTTATTTGTTTATATATTACACAGTTCACTTTATGTGCTTACACAGCTTTTTTTTATTTATTATAAATGTGCATATGTAGGCTACTGATAAGTAAACCAATTAATATTTATAAGTTAGAACTATTATATTTTTTCCAATAATCTCCATGTACAATTAAGTGAAAAGAATATGATGATTCCTTTAATTTTATGTATATTATGAAATTTACAATATTCACAATATTTTAATATTATTATGTAAATTATATGTGTGCATATAATTTTCTATATTTGCATATGTAAGATATTAAGTAGATAAACAAAAATAATATGTATTGGAATTACATTATCTCTTGTTTATATGTTTCTACTTGTAATGTAGAATTTATCAGCCTTCATGAAGTCTTCGTAGTAGTTCCACTATCTTCTGAATTACTGTAACATATAGATTGTGATATTATTTATCTCGTAGACAATTCATATTTTCATTTCTTTTAAGAATTTCATTAATATGTTAAGAATTAATTAACATTATTAATTAATAAAGAAATTACGTAATCTTGTTTGAACCAAAGTGTAATCAATTCAAATAAATTTCTATATATATGGTTCTAAATGTTCCTAATTCTGTTTCTAATTCTTTATTTTTTCAGATATAATTTTAATCTACTCCATATCTTTGTTCTGTTTGAATTTATCCATCATGGACTTGTTTCAATACGTTGTTTCTTGAATGCCGGGAGATATTATTCTTCCGTTACTTTTTTATAGGCTGTACATACAACATGTATTTGCCGTTTGAACAAACCTAAAGAAATTTCGAATAATAGATTTCATCATTTAGTTTATACGCAGTATAAATGCACACACACACACACACACCCAAGTAAATATTACATAGTGGAAGAACTTACTATATCTCCGCAAGAAGTGAGGCCAAGTAATGCGATAACTAGACTCTTACATAAATATTCGAAATTAGGTAGGCATTGCAATATTGAATTGCAGTGCGTTTTATCTTCTTATAAGAAAAATAAATGTTACAAACGCAGGGTTGGGAAGTAACGCGTTACTTGTAACGCCGTTACTGATATCGTTACTTTTTTGAGTAACGATTAGGTAACGCCGTTACTTTTTGGTGTCAGTAACGAAAAAGTAACGGCGATATATTTTTTTTGTAACGAGTAACAAAACGTCCGTTACTTTAATCATTACTTTTTAATTTTTATAAAATTAAACTTAATTGTATTTATAATAATTTCTATGCATTTTTGTTTTATGCTGAATTTAATGAGAACCAATAAAGATGGACTCACATATTGTCATCCATTGGCCGTAGCTATATAATAAGTTATAAATAAGCTATAAATAAAAAAAAATAAGCTATAAATAAAGTTTAAAAGAAAGGTAAGTTGGTGTAATTTGGTTAATACATATGTTCATCAAACAACATTCATCTAGTCAAAAAGAAAAATCAATATGTTCATATTTAATTTTATTGATTTAACTTTAGGTTTTATACTACACTCGAAAAAGAAGAATTGATAATTGCTAGCTGTTTGCATCCCAAATTGAGTTGGTTAGCTGAAGATAAGTGAAAACTTGCGCAAACGTATTTAGAAGATTTATAAGGAATTCCTTCAATTAAAAATTTTTTGATGTCTGATAAGCACAATAATAACGATGACTTTTTTAATTTTAAATAGCAAACATCAAATGAGAAATCTGCCTATGATGAATGGCAAAGATTTTTAAAGTCAACAGGCACTAATATCCAAATATTAAATTCATATCCACTAATTAAAAAACTTTTCATTAAGTACAATACTTAATAACATAAAATAATAAAAATATTTAAATATATATATATATATTTCTAATCGTCTTATGTCCGATTTATATCTTGTCTTAGCACCTTTCTTATAATCCTGAATTTACAACAAAAAAAAGTAACGAAAAGTAACGAAATAAAATATCGTTACTTTCAAGTAACGGTAACGCGTTATTTTTTAAGATCAGTAATGAGTAACGGTAACGAGTTACTTTTTACCGAAAGTAATGGTAACGGTAACGAGTTACTTTTAAAAAGTAACTTTCCAACCCTGTACAAACGTCTCTACATCTTTTTTTTCTTTTGATAACCAGTCACAACGTATAATTCCAATTAAAGAACCTCTTCTCGCTTATATCTGGTCAGTGAATATAGATCAATAACATTACGTTAATGTTATCATTTCTTGCTCAATAATGTAATTGTTATATACCACGTATGTTATAATATACTTACATTGTTCTGAATGGGAAATTATAATATTGATGCTAATGTTAGTTGGTGCTTATTAAGTTTAGAAATATCAAATAATGAAAATATTTTCTTTAATCGCCGGCGTATGTCCGTATTCTTCGTTTTCTAGTCGAATTAATCGATGAACAAATTAAGCTTTATTGAAATGACCTGTTCGCATTGTATGAAAGTAATGCCGATTAGGCAGAATAAAAATATTGCACGAAACATTCGTGAGTAATTACGCGTGAGGAATATAACATATATTCCTCTACATCATGTTTATTCATGATTTGCGCTCTACAAATGTAGCTGATAATATATTTTCCTGTATTTTACATACACTTCAAATAGTAAATCCAACTTTGGCGTAGCTTGTTATTAAGTTTTATTAAACCTATAACTAAACTGGCAATATTGACGAAACCTATGATTTAACGGAAATAAAATTCCATCCTATCTTATTTCTATTTTTTTAACTTTGAATTTAGTTATAGGTCTAATAAAAGCTTGATAACAAGCCAGAGTTAAATTTATTATTTGAAATATGTTTAAAACACAAGAAAATATCTTATCAGCTACATTTATGGAATGCAGATAGACGGAATTTTATTTCCGTCTTGAGTCGAGAGTAAAAATATATGTAATACCGCCACTCAAAACCAAGAGTGAATGTTTCACTCAAAATTAAATTTTGCCTCTGATATGAACTAATATGTTTCAATCGATTGGAATAAATATGTTTCTCTGATTAGATTCACTCTTCAATTCCGAGTGATAATATTCACTACAACGATTCAGAGTGGAAAATTTACTCTGTAAGAGCGAAAAATAATTCGAATTTAAGTGACACGGCTGTCACTTTACTTTTCGAGTGAAATTTTATTGCAAAAAATTTAGAAATTATGTCTCACGCCTAAGAATACTGTGATAAAGCAATAATTGTTAAGTGAATTATATAGGTGATTAGTATTTTCGTTTGTATTTATATATAAATCGTTTACATTATTCCGCACATTCCGCAATGAATATTAATAATTTTAGCAATGTAGCGGTATTGTATCGTTTCGACAGTTACATATACTACTATACTGAGAAAAGAAACTTATCGAGTTGATGAAACTTTGCTTAAACGAAAAAAATTCGTTCAAGTAAATGTTTAGTCGACTGAACGAACTGAAATGTAGTTGCTGCATGATGAATTATTAATTGATTCAATGATTACGATTTGATCAATAATTATATCAATGCAATTTATTCTCGCACTAACATCTAATTTATTCAATAGATTCAATATTTCTTTAGAGGTGAAAGACTGCCGATGTTGTCGATCCAACTGTTTATATGTTCTCACAGCATACTAAGCGTGCACTTTATGAATACACACTATGCTAAGCTCAACTATTTTACATATCATTATATTATAAGCTAAATATATTAATACCAACTGCATTAACAAAATGCATTAAATAACATTTTCATAAATGGAAGGAAGGAAATATCAAAAAAGGAAAAAGATATGTACTGATATATAACAGATGGCATTTTAGAAAATTATCCTAGTAAGGATGACTTATGTGAAGAAATAGGCCTAAATTTAACAACTGCATAGTAAGTTTTTTTCCCGATTTGATGATTAATCAAATCATCTTACCTTCAGCCTACTTCAAAGTATAGCACATTGTATGATAAATTAATGATATAAGTTTTCTCCTTGTGATCGCCTTGGAAAGATTTCTTATTTTCACTGACTTACACGTGTTATATATTTATTTTTGTTTATGATTGTCGTGACACGTATTACTTTTTAATATTTGCAGATATATATATGTATATTTTCGTATACATACATCTGAAAATGTTAAGAAACTGTTCCATAGTAGGCAACAACATAAATAAATATATATATATATATATATAATAAATATACATATATATATATCTGATAGAAACGGTATATGCTAAAACACTTACATTGAATTAAATAGAACTGTTTCAAATTACTAAATAATATATGTTCCGTGATGTCATCCTGAAGTTATCGACTTATTTAGGAGATAAGATAGGATTTATTTTGTGTTCATAATTGTTTTTTTATTTTTTATAAATGTACAGTTGTAGACTACTAATAAGTAAACCAATCAATGTCCATAAATTAGAACCATCATCTTTTCTCTAATATTTTTTCATGTACAATTTTTTATGTACTATTTTTCATATACAATTTTTTATGTACAATTTTTCATGTACATTTAAGTGAAAAGAATATGAAGAATATGATTCCTTTAACTTTATATAATGAGATTTACAATAATTTAGTATTATTATGTAAATTACACATGCACACAAAATTTTTCGTATTTGCATATGTAAGATACTAGATAGATAAACAAAAATGATAAAATTTTATACAGGTAGAATAAAATATAGCATATTTTGGACAAAATAGTGTGTACCGAAATCACTTTATCTCTTATTTACACATTTACATCGTTCCTGTAGTAATGCAGAATTTAGTTATTGGTTTTTAAAATTTAAGAAATTTCTTCTTACGAAATATTTTGTTCCTTACATCTTGAAGTTCTGTAACAAGATCGAGATATTATTTATCTCATCAACAATTAATCTACTTTCACTTTTTTTTAAATTTCATTTATATGTTAAGAATTAATTAATATTGCGCATAGAAATTACGCGCAGTCTTGTTTGAGTCAAAAGCGTAATTAATTTAAATAAATTTCTATGTATGTACATAGTTCTAAATGTTTTCAATTCTGTTTCTAATTCTTTACTTTTTTCAGATATAATTTTAGTCAACCTGATACTTACTTTGTTTGAGCTTGCCTACTATCCACGGAGCTAATTTGATTTCTTGCTTCTTGAGAACCGGGAGATGTTTGCGTTCTTCTTCCGTTAATTCTTTTTCTTCCATTTCTTTCTTTCCTTGGTTTTTAGTCAGTATTCCTTCCATCACGCATTTGCCATTTAAACAAATCTAACGAAATTTCGAACAATAAGTAATCATTTAGTTTATACATATATAATATATACACAATATAAATATTACACACACACACATATGCATAGGTAAACATTATATAGTAGAAGAAGTTGGAACTTACTAAGTCTTCTCCGCAAGGAGAGCCTTCCGCTGCCGGAGCCGCTGCCCTGCAAAAATTTGGGTGGTCAGCATGCTTGCATTCCAGACGAGTACAGACCGAATCGTCTCTCTGTAAGGAAAAGAAATGTTACAAACTTCTTCTGTTCTGTTTTCTTTTGAAGTCACAACGTATGATTCCAATTGAAACGCGTCTTTTCGCTCATATCTAATCAGTCAAACATTATAAAAATTCGATAAAACATACATTACACGCCGATGTTCCAGTAACCATATTACATTGCTCATCTAAAGACATCAATTTCCCGGGCAAAACACGTGCCACTTGTTCGCCTGACACAGGCTCGGTGTAAAGACATTTCGCTCTGTCCTCGCTGAAAACAATCCTCCATTATATTACTTGAGTCTCGCTTTTGTCCACAAAAAATCCGAGATTAATCAAATTTAATAAAGTGTATTTTTATCATTCTTTATTCATCTTAAAAGAAACATTCACGTTAAACACTATCCGTCGCATTCTCTCTGAGACGGAAGTCTATATTTATATGTAAGATCGTATAAAATGAACTTCATACTTCAATTTGCACCAAACAGAAACGAATTCATTGCAGATGGTACGACACGTACTTGATAAACCTGTAGAAGGCGTCTATACTACACGTGGACCATTCGAATCCGTTTTCATGCAACATCAGTCCGTCGGTCATAATGAAGCCCTCGTGCGGCGCGCAATCTCCGGCGTCTTTCAGGTTACCGTCATGACGCGCTCCTATCCTACGATCAGGTATATTCTTTTATCTTCTAGAATCTAAAATTCTTTATTGTCATTGAGCGATTCTTACTGAAAGCAATACCCTATATAGCACAAAAGTTGCAGCAATATTGTTGCAACATTGCAGCAATGTTGCTACAACTTTCTGTACTATATGACACTACTTGTTGATATATTCGAAGCTTCGAATAACTCAACTTCGAAAATTCGAAATATATCAGAGCAATATTGCTACAACTTTCTATGCTGTATTGGACTACTTGATATATTCGAAGTTTCGAATTATTCAACTTCGAAAATTCGAAATATATTGGAGCAATGTTGCTACAACTTTCTGTGCTGTATAAGACTACTTGATATATTCGAAGCTTCGAATAATTTAACTTCAAACACTCGAAATATATTCGATCGAAGCTTTTAATAAAATTAATTTTGTATTTGTTCAGTTGTACGAGTTTTCGAAATTCCAAATACTGCAATGAAGGCATATTTACCCTTTGAGAAGTTATTTTTTTCGAATATAATGTTTTCAAATAGAATTCGAAATATTGAGGCCTTTAAGGCCTTGTTCTTTGTAATTATGACATTAAGTCGTATTGTCTGTGCTTAAAATAAAGTTCATACACATTTTGACATTGGATGAGAGAAAGAAGAAAAAGATTACGAGATGCATCAGAAAATACATCTATAAAGAACTAATTTTTACCATAGAACTAATTTTGTTCTTTAAGTATACGTACGTTTATTCAATTGTACTTTGAAGTTTCCGAAATTCTGAATATTTAAACGTCCGAATACTCAAATATGCATCCTTTCTCTTATTAGATTCCTTTAGTACACACTTCGAAAGGTCGTTATTTGAATATATTATGTCTCGAAACTACAGAAGTCAGGGAGAGCTTTGAAAAACCGAAGCTTCAAATATAATTTATAGCTCTAATTCTTACGGTATTGTGAATTCATTTTTCATACAACAGATTAATATTTTGCTTGTGACACGTCAACGACACAGTATGTTCCACAAGTATCCCATCATTTCTTGTCTTTCTTCAGATTTGTCAACTTACAAGTGACCAATCTCGTGAGCCGTGGGGATGATACCACTGAAGCCACCGTTATCCTCTACGATCCCCACCGCCTCGGACAATTGTCTCGTTTCATTTCTATCGCACGCGCCAGCGACGAACGCATAACCTGGACAATGAATTTACCATCGCGAATTGTTTCATTTCTTCATTAAAAAGTACCCTTCTATATAACAACAGATACGCTCGTCGGTATATGTAAAATCCCACAAAAAATAATTATATATGATTATACATGAATTTGGCCTCTATATGGCTATATATAAACATATGTAATTATATATGTTTATACTGAAAACAATGCTTTCATACAATACAATTAAAGTAATTGCTTATGGCAGACCGTAATGCACATGTCCAATTAAAAAAAGAAACGAAATAATCTCTTTTTTCTTCATTTAAGGCTTCTAGATTCTCGTCACGGCCATATTGAATATCAGAGATGAGAGAAATGAATCAATCAACAACCGTAAAATGGCTGTAATATGTGGCCTAATTGTGCAGTCATTTCGTACCTTATATTACGGTCATTTTACGGTTGTTGATTGCCTTTCAAGAGAGAAGCATAGTGTTCGAAGTATTTCACAAGTATGTTCTAACGACCTGCAATATTATTTCATGTAAATATCTTTACATTTAACAATGACACGCAAGAATTTTGGACAGGCGTTTTCTCCCTTTTGACAGCATCAAAAGTTTTGCGGCGAAGGAACGAAGGACCAAGAGCTTTAACAGCGTCTTTTTTCAATATAGACATATACAGAGTATCCGGAATCTTTTGAAAACGAAAAATTATGAAGATTAATCAGATCAAACTGAGAAGAAAAATCGAGTATTATCTTGCAAAAATCGCAATAGTTATTATTCATGGAAAATGACCACATCTATAGTAACCTAATTTATGATTATATGACGGCTATTGTGTCTAGTAGTAGATACGTGTGAGTATATTAAACATTGAATCCTAAATCTTGAATCTGTCGCTAAGCACAATAGCCGTTATATAATTATAGATTAGGTCATTCTGAACAAAAAAGTCCTTTACCATTTTGCAAATGAGTACGCAAATCTTTAAGTTATCAATTAAAAGAGCCTCTAGATGTGGTCATTTTCAATCATTAATAACTTAATAATTATTGCGACTTTTGCAAAATGGTACTTGACTTTTCTTCTCAGTTTGATCTGATTAATCTTCACAATTTTTCGTTTCCAAAAGATCCCGGACATCCTGTATAAATTTATGTAATTATACACATAACTATATGTATAGAGACAAAATTCATATATCGATCATGTACCGTTAAATATATGATTGATATATAATTATACATGATTTTATATATTATATATTCTTATTCAATATAATTCTTTTTGATGGAGAATATATGCCGAATGCAACAGTATGCGTCAGCAGACTTACCCAAAGTACCCGGATCGCAGTAAGTCTCGCCCCACATATTGCACATGTCCAACCTGAAATTATACGTAAATTACAATTGTGTCAAGTGTATATTATTATGCGCATTAACAAACAACATATGAAGAATAACAAACGCTTACTGCGTCAAGACGATTGCCATGTCATAAAAATAGCTCGGCAACCTCTCCTCACGATACAAATACCTCCCCATGCAACGCAAAGAGCGATCTGCATCCACCATCGTACTATCGACGCGACTGTCCTCCAAACACGAAAGTGCGTTGTCATCCTGGAGTGTCGAAAGCAATATGTCATGTTTGATTTTTATCTATTTATATACTAATATAATTATAATATATTAATATATTAATAATAATATATAAACTATAATAAATAAACTAATATAGTAATAATAATATATTAATAATAAATAAAATGATCAAGCACGCCGAAAGATACGATTCCGTTAACACAACTGCAGAATTTTCTGTTGCTTGGAAGCCAAATGAAAACTAAGTTGTAGGAATAAAAAGATTTTTTCAATTCGATTGTCTCAACTGAGTTTTAACATATGACTGGTTAGATGAATATTTTTTTGGTCGCCATAACAGAGAGATATTCCTCGTCACCGAGTTTCCGAGTCTTTCATTCAGTTACACGAACTGAGGTTTTCTTTCCGGGTAAGAAGAGATTTTTCTTATCCGAATGATGTTTAATTTGATGTGCGTGTGTGAAATAGAAAAATAAATTTATACATACGACGGAGTCAGAAAATATGCTGAATGAAAAAATAAACATACCAGGGCTATAATTATTCCCGCGATGTTGAACAGCATTCTGGGATTCGTTAATAAACGATATCTCAAATCGACTCCGTTCCAAAATGCGAGGAGATAATTTATGGCTAGATCGATACGCTCGCCGAGAATTCTATAATTAAGAAATTTATTTTGTATAAATAAATAAATAAATTTTTCTTACAATTTATAGTTCATTGTTCTGATAAGATTGATTAAACTCATTATCAGAAGATGTTTTTGGTACATTTTAAAAATAGATAATAACATATAATAATATGATAAATTAATTTTCAAATGGAATCTCGCACGCTGACTCGGCAAAATATATATCTCTAACAATTCTAAAATAATTACATTGAATCTGATACGTTATTAAATTTTATCATTTTCAATAAACACTAACTAATAGTAACATTATATTAATACTATAATTTCTCACTCGACAATATATAATTGTTATGTGTAACACGTATTCTATTACATTTACATTGCTGAATGGGAAATTATAATATCGATGTAATGTTATTAGTAGTTGTTGTTTACCGAATTGTTAAAGGACATTTTTCTACTTACCTATACTCCCTAGAATCTATTATTATCAGGATCTTAGGATAAATAACTTCCGGTGCAGCACGTTTCGCTCTGCCGCGCAGAGATTCCGGTATTTCTGAAAAATCAGCACAAACGATGTTATAGGAATATTAGAAATAATTTCTAATATCTCGATATTTTTAAATTATCTTAATAATATTCGGAAAAATCATATTATTCGGTAATCTGAGAGAGAAATATTTTTAAAATATTAAATATCAGAACATTCAAAAGATGAATCAACACATGAAATCAACATTTTAAGGTGTTGATCGAATGTTCTTAATTTATTGGGTTATTGCATATTACTTGATGATATTACTGGGTTACACTGTTACATGTTACTTCATCGTACTTCATGGTGGGTAAGTTTGCGCGGTAAACAATAAATTTATATAGTTATGAACAGATTTCAAAGTTTTCTCTAACATATATTTATGTAGGCATTTGTGTTTGACTTACTGAAGTCTTTGTATTGATTTCCCTTCATCGGTGGTATTTTGTACACGATGTGGTGATGCGTGTAAGCGAAATCGTCGTCGTTTGTTACGTTTTTCGTGTGATGTGGCTCGAGGAGTTTACGACCGCCATATGCAACCTTTTCCAGAACTCTTGCCGGCAAGGATTTTATAACGTAAGTATTATTAAGCACTCCGTCCTGAAACATACAGTCGTCATTTTCAATTCGCAAAACTCAACACGAAATATTTGAATATGAAGACTCACGTCAGATACATGATCTGTTTCTGTATACGTATGAATGCGCAAATATGTATGTGGAGAAAAGTAGAAATTACCATTTATATACTTTTATAAAAATTATTGTTTATTAACAGTTATTATTTAGCATGTTTTTTACGGTTACTTCAAGATCAAAGTTCACAAAGTTTTTAATATTCGAAGTTTTCATGGTGTGAAAAAGTGCTCGATAGATTATATATAATTATATAATAGCATATATATAATTATATATAAATTATATATTTTATTATTATATATGAAATTTGTCTCTAAATGATCATGTATATGATCATATAAAATTATAATGAATCAAAAAAAATAATAAAAAATTATACATGTCACACTGGCAAAAAAAAATTGTTAATTGATGAAAAAAATCCACTGTTTTGTTCGCTTATATTATATAACAATTATAATAAATATACTACATAACAGGTTATTATAAACAAAGCACTTACTTTAACTGTATTTGTCTAACGATGACTGTATTTTTCAATATGAAGACATACAAGGTGTCCCATTTTAAAGGACCCACTCATACCCACAAATATCTCAGAAACAGTGCGTTAAATCGAAAAATGTTTCAGACAAACGTTGTTTGGCTTGAAGGAGGACATAAGACAGCGATAGCATTTTGCTTATAGATAGCGCCACTTTCGAGATATTCACTGATCATCCATTTTCTTAAATGGAAATCCAAATTTTTTATTATATCATCTTTTTCTACAAATTAATTTGAACAACTTTTGTCTGAAACATTTTTATTTGCTTAATATTTTTTGAGATATTTAAAGAAAATTTGGTAACTTTTTCAACATTTAACTTACGATATCTCGCTAACTATTCGTTGAAAGAAAAAATAGTAGAATTAGACTTTTTTACTTTATTTACTATCAAGAATATATTACTATAATAGTGCCCTAACTTTTGTTAATTTAATAATTTTGAGATTTCCAAAGGTCGATAAGTTAACAAAAGTTAGGGCACTATTATAATAATATATTCTTGATAGTAAATAAAGTAAAAAAATCTAATACTATTTTTTCTTTTGACTAATAGTTAGCGAGATATCGTGAAGTAAATGTTAAAAGAGTTACCAAATTTTCCTTAAGTATCTAAAAAAATATTAAGCAAATAAAAAAATGTTTCAGACAAAAGTTGTTCAAATTAATTGGTAAAAAAAGATGATATAATAAAAAATTGAATTTCCATTTAAGGAACTTGATGATCAGTGAATATCTCGAAAGTGGCGCCATCTATAAGCAAAATGCTACCACTATCTTATGTCTCCCTTCAAGCCAAATAACTTTTGTCTGAAACATTTTTCGATTTAACGCAGTGTTTCTGAGATATTTGAGTGGGTCCTTTAAAATGGGACACCCTATATAATTACGTATATTTATACATGGCCATATAGAGACAAAATTTATAAACAGGGTATTTAGGATCTTTTGGAAATGAAAAATTATGAAAATTAAGCAGATCAAACGGTGAAGAAAAGTCAAGTTTCATTTTGCAAAAGTCTCAACAATTATTAATGATTGAAAATGACCACATTTAGCTTTTTAATTGATAATTTGAGAATTTGCATACTTATTTGCAAAATGGTGAAGGACTTTTTTGTTCAGAATGACTTAATCTACAATTACTAGTATATGATGGCTATTGTGTCTAACGATAAATATAAGTATATTGAACTTTGAACTCTGAATCTTATATCTATTGCTAGACACAATAGCCGTCATATAATTGTAAATTAGATTATTCTGGACAAAAAAGCCCCCTATTATTTTGCAAATAAATACGCAACTTTTCAAGTTATCAATTAAAAAATTATCAATTAAAGTTATCAATTAAAAGAGCTTCTATTATATATATAGATGTGGTAATTTTCAGTCATTAATAATTTAATAGTTATTGCGATTTTTGCGAAATGGTACTTGACTTTTACTGTCAGTTTGATTTGATTAACAATTCACAATTTTTCGTTTCCAAAAAATCCCGGACACTCTGTATAATCATATATAATTATTTTTTGTGCTCTTTTCCGAAGTTTCATGAGTTACTTAAAGAATTGCTTCTCCTGAGCAAATGAACCAAAATGTTCTCGAAACATCGAGGAGAAATCCGCGAAAGGCATAGCACCAGCACGAAAGCCACATCGGGCATTTTCAATTATTCGCCACTTACCACGTGTATTCGTCCGTTAGGAGAGGGAGATAGTAAAACGGCGGTTGCTCCTTGTACGTCTTGGTACGGTACTCCTACAGAGTCCATAGCCTGCGACAAAAGATAGAGAATCAACTTTTCGTATTATTTACAAAGATATAGGCAGAGTTGGGAGGTAACGCGTCACTTGTTTGCAGTAGGCAAAATGTTAGAAATCTTAGAAATATTTTATCTGATAGCCAATCTACGCATCCAACAATACTTGTCGTACGACAAATGAAATATTAGCCTTACGTATTAGTACGTCAAATGGTCCCGCAGATAAAAGTTAAAAATGTGTGGATTGGATAATTTAAATAAATATTATTGTATGTGTTGTATTACGTTTTATAATACCGCAGTTAATTTTTCCTTTAATTTGGCTCGACATTATTTTTCCATTTTATCGCAAATCGAACCTACCCCAGGTACTTTATTGTACTTCATTCCTTCGGGTGATCGCGGATCAGACTTCACGGTCCATACGGGAGTATTTCTACTGGCGAGAATACCTTCCGTGGGATGCAAGTACAGCTCGAGATTTTCCCGGAATGCACTCAGTTTAACCTCGGATCCTTCATTCGGATCTTCTTCATTCGTTAAACGATGCAGTACTGGCACTACCTCATATTCGGGGACTGAAAATCCATGCATTGCGATATTACGAATTATAATAACAGAATTACAATAACAAAATTAACACGATATTAACATTTTCGTTAGCAGAATCTATTTTGGAAACCCTCATAGACCGCCAAATTCGGTAATGCGATATTTTTTCTTTTTATTATTAATTATTTTTCTTTTTTTACGTAAATGTATAAAACAAACTTCCTGGTAAGCATTAATTAACAGTAACATTACATCAATATTATAATTTTCTACTCGGTGAACTATTGCACATAACGCATGCTATAAAACATTTACATTGTTGAGTGAGAAATTATAACAGTGATGTAATATTACTTGCAATTTGTGTTTATAGGATTTAATGCATCGTGTGGATATAAAAAGAGAAAATGTCGCTGTCACATATGGTCACTCGTGAGAAATTGTTGTATCACACACATATATCATGCCGATAGCGAACACGTCTATATATTTTTTATGTATTAAAATTCGAAACGCATTGCGTCATGTATCAAACAGATGTCAGCTTTCAAACGAAAATCCGATATTACTTACCAAGATGATGCGGTGTGTGAAAGACGGACATCACTTCGTCCTTCGTCATATAGTCGTGCAACTGAAAATACGACCAATCGAATGTGAAGGAGACGAAATAGGAAATTTCCCAATAAACACTAACCAATATTAATATTACGTCAATATTATCAATTCTCGCTCAACAATGTAATTATTATATACCACATTTGTTATATTACATTTACATTATTCTAAGTAGGAAATTACGATATCGATGTAATTCTACTATTAGTTGATGTTTATTGGGTTTAGAAAAAACGAGGAATGAAAATATCTCCTTTAATTGGCATTTGTCCTCCATTCTCTACAAAATAATCGATAAATAAATTAAGCGTTATTCAAATTACCTGTTCGCATTGTATGAAAGAGATGCCGATTAAGCAGAACAGAAATAATGCGAGAGACATTATTCGTGAACACTTCGCGAAGTCTGATTCTCAAGTTTCCTGTAATTTAACGTAAAATAAGCATTACAAAATATATTTTGATAAAACATCATAGTTACAAAATTAATTCGTATATATAAAAAATTGGTTTGATGTTGCAATATAATAAACAAAATGGTTTTAATTTTAATCGGAATGAAAGAAATTTTTTGGCACTTTTAATTAAAAAATAAGAAAGACTAATAAGAGAGTCGTGAATATTGATCTTAGTGCGAATTTTTATATTAATAATTTCAATGTAAAAATTGACTAACTAATATTTTTAATTTCGATAAAAAATAATATTCGTGGCGTACACTTGGTTTCAATAATGTCTGGACATTTTTTTCTCGATTTAGTTCGGGACGCAACCAATGATCAAAGAGGACAACTGTTGTAAATTATCCAAAACTCAGGAAAAATGATTATACCATGGTATATATAATTATGTAAAATTATATATAATAATATATGTGAATATATGAATTTTGCTTCTACGAGTATATCATTACATATATAATTTTTAATATCATCATCAATCATAATCATAATAAAACATATATATTATAAATTTATTTGTCAATGGGCGCGCGTTACCGTTGAACAAAGAGCCGAGCAATTAGTTTCACTTCATTAAACGTCAACATCATGATCTACCACACATACATCTACCACAAACATAAGCATTTATGTCAATTTTATTTGCAGAAGACTTTTATCGCTGTTTACATAATTGCACACATTTATTGTGTGTATATATGATTACGTTATCAATACATATGTTGTCATTATATTATATTACATTATTGATATAACATGATCATCGATAGATATGGTCATATAAAAACATAGGATGTATAGATAATATTTTTTTTCTGGGGAAGACTTCTTATGGGACATCGGCTAAATTCCGAACTGCATTGAGAAAAAAGTGTTCGAATCATATTAAGATCAACTCATATAATATAACCTAGCAAATGTAATGCAACATGTAAAATACCTGTTGGTTCTAATTTCTTGCTCAACAATGTAACTATTATATAACGCAGGTGTCATATAACAGTTGGATTGTTGAGTAGGAAATTACAATTAACAAGAATATTGCATGTTACATTATGTTCGCTGGGAAGATATCCTGAAATTATTATGGATACGCTCAGACATTTTAAACTCGTTCAGAATGATATCAGGATGTCCTGTGTGTGTTAAAACTCGATAGGAATAATCGAAAATAATCGGTTGATTGGAAAACATCCCAACGAAAAATAATTATATATGAATATATATGAATTTTGTGTATTTATTATAGCTATATATAATTATATATAATTCATCAAGGAATAATTGCTGTATGTTGTACAGATGCAATCAAAATAATAGTTTATGTTTATGGCAGTCTGTAATATGTAATGAATGAAAGTTATCCTGCATAAACTTATTCAGGGAGTGTATTTGAAATTTATCGACGAACTTACAAGACAGATTCCGTGTTGAAAAATAATAAATAAAATAATTGAAAGAAAATATATTTCGTTATATGAGTTAAGAATGCTAATGCGATACATTTTTTACTAATTTTTGACAGTCGATCCATTCATTTTGATAACAAAATCCATCAATGTTGGTAATTTTTGAATATTAACCGAAGAATCATTTATTGTGACATTGTTATATTGTTTATCCCCAGTAAAATTAAAAAAATATATTACTTCCCGTTGACAGGATACCTATATTTTTGAGGAGCCTGCAGATACAGCAGAAATTTTTAATAATTTTTATAACAGTATATATCTAGTTATTTATTTGTATAAAATACGATTTTATAAATAATATATTTTTTAAACTAAAATTGTGGCACCTATCTCAGAAACTGAGAGTTTGAAGACATATATATTTATTAAGATCTTTTTACTTAAGTTTTTAGTATAAAGTCTATCCTGTGAGTTTGTCGGTGGAGTTTAAATGTGATCTGCATAATTTCATACAATTATATATACATGACCATATAATATTATATTTTTTAATCAATTTCCTGCAAAAGTCTATTTTCTGTTGCAACCGAACTTCTCGTTTGGTCTTATTTTCCTCAGGAGACAGAAAATTCAAGTTACACCAATTGAATTATTTTTCTTTTCGAGAAAACTGTCATCGTATACTCGATAATATACTTACAGGATCAATTTCTATCGGTCGAAGAAGCAACTACGCAGTTGTCCTCTCCACGGTATTGCAATAATTTCCAATTACTGCGACTTATTCACGGTGTAATAAGTGAAGTATAATGCAGATCGCAGTTTGCGATCTTCTTAGCGCGAGCAGAACGGTGCGTATTTACAATTACCGCGCAAAACCGATGAACGTTCCGCGGGAGAGCTCGTAGTGCGAATACGGAGGCTGAATTATTTCGCGGCGCGATATAAATTAACCGGCTAATGTTTGATTTGCTCGCGATTACACGACGGAACACTTGTACATATATTATATAATTTGCAGCAAAACGCGCGCACCCGGGCGCACCCGCGGCATAATGGCGAAAGAATTATACAAATTCATAATTCTCGCATGACAAATGGCGGTATGGAGGCGCAGCGGTATCCGGACACGCGCGAATTAAACACTCCGTCAAGGATCAACGACGGCTATGCTTATCTCGTACTTTATCACGTCGTATGACGGCCGATCGCATTCCTCGCGTCAGTGCAATTAATAATCGTCTGTTTAATGCGCATCCGATTGTGAACCTTTTATATTTTCAGCAGCACTTTCATCAGTCGCTTGAGTGTGCGCTAATAACGCAATTTAACGGTACGTTACCCGCATGATTTATTCATCGATTTAATGTCACTGTTAATATACCCGTTACGTAAGAAGCGCTGCGCTTTGTCACGGAGTGTCTGCGGTTTTGTATAACGATGCCGTATATGTATATAAGCTGTTTATTTAATACTGATCGCAGATAATGAATCGTTTATTTTTAGCGAAACACATGATTTATGATACAATTTTACGAGAGCTATTAGTATCATTTGGATCTGCCGATCTATCTCATAATTCAACAAACTTTTCAGATATCACCGGAGTTGGAACTTTTTGTTTGAAATACAAATTTTAAACATGCTTTAAACATTCGATAATTTTAAATGTGTTTTTCCCTACATGTGATTTTCTGCCCTTTTGGATGTTTAATATAAATTTGGGCTTAAAATTATTGGTGATATAAATTGATCTTTTCATAAAATATCTATTTTGTTTATATTTCATAAAATATCTATTTTGTCTATGTTTTTTCTCTATATGTGACTTTCTCCCCTTTGGAGTATTTAATATAAATTTGAGCTTAAAATTATTGGTGATATAAATTGATCTCTTCATAAAATATCTATTTTGTCTATATATGTCTATATTTTGTATATTGCGATTTTATAGTTTATTTAAAAGGTTTCCTTATTAAATCATCGACTGTACTCCAAATCGCATCAAAAGTCAAATGTTTGTATTGTACTAGAAATCGTATGCATATATGTTTGAAACATGTTTAAGGCAGGAAAAAAATTTTAAACAAAAAATATATGATGCTCTGTTTCTTTCATTTCAAACACGTTTCTTGCCAATCCTGGATATTATCTAATATATGACCTCTTGGTTTGAAGTAGAAAATGAAACAATTGTTGTATTTTATTGACTTTGAAGGACATCTCTGTAGATTATCTTCCGTTCCTTTGTTATGTAGCGAAAAAAGTGCATTTATCAGCAAGGATGCAGTGATTAATATATCGGTATGTTTAAACGTAAACCAGTCTAACTACTATCATCGAATTTACAAATGATTGATGATAAAAGAAAAAGATTTATAGAAGAGCAATAGGTAAAGTTGCAGTGTTGATTAACTTGTTAAGTTGCAATCAGAGATTGTATATACTGGTGTACATGGGCAGTGCATTTAATTAATAAATCGTTTAGCAACATACGATACGTAGTTAAGAATATGGTTATGGAAAAGCATGGTAGATGCATAATATGTTCATATTATTTGTTCTTTTTTTTTAAGAAAGTTCGAATGGCGTCGTCTGTATATCCCTTTATCCCTGTTCTTTTGATATTGATTTATCGACGATATCCGACAAAAAAAATTATGTACAACTACATAAAATGATTTTATATAGCACAGAAATATTGCAAAAACATTGCATAGACATTACATCGTAATATTATAATATTTCATGGAAGTTGCGAAATGTCTACTATATTGTTCTATTGTAGTAACATTAAAAATTAAAAGTGTGTGTTATCAGAAAAAAAATTGCAATAAAACATTATATCAATATCACAATGGAAAATAATAATTCCACACATTGCCATAGACACATATACCGTATATACTAGATACTTTAGATTCAACGAATAAATATTGCGAGTATATACATCACATATATAGACATCACAGATAAAAATGACTGTACATAAACTAGTAACTATAAGTGTCATTTTTAATCAATAGTCGTTCTTATTTGTGATACCTTAATCTATCCATAATATTTATTCATTAAAATCTGGAATATTCAATGTATATATCGCGCACATATGGCGTGACACGTGTGGAATCGCTAGCTTTTATTCTGCAATTATACATTAATATATAATTATATTACAAATTAGTGAAAAATAGCCTAACATATCTATATTATGATATACTCAAAGAAATTATGAATCTACATTTTTTTAATTTTACTTTTTTATTTTTATACCTACATATCTCTTTACAGTATTTATTCATAAAAATCAAAACATATCCTGTATATTGAAAAAGTATTATTGACTTACTGTATTATTGAAGTATTATTGAAGTATTAAGACTTACTGTTTTGGACGTAAATAAAAATGACTTAATAAAAAATGTATGAGTATTAAGACTTACTGTTTTGGACGTAAATAAAAATGACTTAATAAAAAATGTATGAGTTATTTTTAATATATATTTATTTCTTAGTTTATTAGATTTAATAGTTTATATCTGCATCGTATGTGGTTGAATCATTTTAACGAAATATTGCAATTGCATGTCTCTGTAATATTATATTGCACCTTGTAAGGTTGTAATGTTCCTGCAATATAACTAGAAACTTCTATGCTATGTATAAGATATATCATTATATATAAATTATATATCATTATATGTTATTTATGATAATATATAATATACTGTACTCACCAGATTTAGCCCCTAGTGACTTTTTCCTGTTCCCAACATGAAAAAAATGACTCGCTGGAAAGAAATTCATTTCAAATACGGAGGTCATCGCTGAGGTGAATGCTTCTTCTGAAGGGTTAAAGAAATTATATTATACTGAAAGTATAGGAAAGTTAAAATATCGTTGGTTTGAATGCATCGAGTTGAAAGGGGATTATGTTGAGAAATAAAAAAGAATGTTGTCAAAAATCATGTGTTTTTCTGTCAAGCCGAGAACTTTTCGAATTACTCTCGTATGTGAAAAATATTTTTAAAAGGTGATCCATATGCTTTTCCGAATTCTGTCGATTATATTATACAACCATCGCGCTGGAGTGACATTTTTGTGTCTGCTCGCTGTCAAATAAATCATTGATCATGAACTACGACGGTAGCTCGCGATGCACCTGTACATGTAAACATCCCGTAATTGCAAACTCCTGCCAATTGCACGTGCGTCAGTTGACAAAAGAAAAATGTGATGTTATTATATATAACTTTCCATGTGCCACATGACGCATAATGTCATAAGGTCATTCACGTTCGAACTTATTTTTTATTTCTTTTCCTTTTTTATTCTGGAAACAGATTTTAACTTAAGTAAAATTCCTTTAATTATCTCATTAGGTCTGTTCATTTTCGAAGAACTCCTGATCTATAGTGCAATAAATTTGAGTGAAACACGTATGCTCTAATTTATTGCACTAGTTCAGAAATTTTACGAAAACTAATAGAGCTGTTAACGTTGTTTTAGCAAAAGATACAGCTTGTTTGTTGCATTTTGTCTATATTTCACGGTCGAGAATGAGAGAAAGAGAGAGAGAGAGAGAGAGAGAGAGAGAGAGAGGGAGAGAGAGAGAGAGAGAGAGAGAGAGAGAGAGAGAGAGAGAGAGAGAGAGAGAGAGAGAGAGAGAGAGAGAGAGAGAGAGTCTGTGAAATTCTTTTAGTACATATATACATGTATAAAGATGATTAATAAGTAGACGGGTACATATAACACGTTTGATCTTAAGTATTCCCATTTATTGTCTTGCATTAAACAATTTCCATGATCTTCGAATGGCTTCTTTCGCGCAAGTGCGCGCGCGCGCGCTCGTCAAACGCACACACGACCCACCCATGCCTCGGGTAAAGCGAATCTTTAGCGAGATCTGCTTCTTATCGAATAAATTATATTCGCGGTCGAATATCGTACCGATTGACAGTCAGTCCACTCTGCTCTTAGATCACTATCCGGTACGTCCGCAGCAAAACTCCGGCGGTATTGTATCTACAATATAAATGAATGATATCTGGATAGTGCGGATATGAAAAAAAGATAAACAGATAGAGGCAACGAGAGGAAAAGGAAAAAAATAGAAGAGAATAGAAACGAAGAGAAGAAAAGGAGGGAGAAGAGAGAGAGAGAGAGAGAGAGAGAGAGAGAGAGAGAGAGAGAGAGAGAGAGAGGGAGAGAGGGAGAGAGCGAGATATACGTAGCTACTCGAAGAGTCGAATGTGGTCGCGCTCGTCCCGATCGTAAGAACCGCAAGAACGTCGAGAACTTTGACGAAGAGTCTGCCCGAGAGACAGAGAGGATCGACGATCGTCGGTTCGGCTTCGAGCTTCTTCCGTTTCATTCTATTCGCCGGAATGGCGTGACGCGGCCGTTGTTTAGTAAGCGCGACGTCACCGAACGAGCAAATGATCGAACCGATTTTTCGCCTTTTTTTACTTTTTTATATTATTAATCAGCACAGATCGTCTTCAGGGATGCGCAGCAGCGACTCTTCACAGATTGTAGATGGCACAGCCATGTTCTCAGCCTGTCAATCAGCTCCGCGCAATCTGACCCTATGTCCGTGCATTCACCGGCCTCTATTCCTGGAAGCAAGCGACCCATTTAGAGTAGAGCTCTGCAGTTCACTCTAGACGACCTGCAATTTGTGTTAGAAAGTGGAATTCTATCTATAAAGCAAGATTTACGAGTTTCCAAATATCTTTCATATCGCTCATGAAGATGGAAGATTGGTTGATTTAACGCGACGATGAATTGATGAACGCATTCTAGTACGAGGAAACAGAATTCCTGGTTCTTATGAATCACATTCAGCCCTAAGAATCGAATGTTTTATTTGAAAAACATAGAATTTCTGGTTCTGGTAAACCAAAGTCTCGATTTCAAAAGTCAACAATTCTGAACCAAATTTTTATGAAGCAGATTCGCTTCTAGGAACCAGAAATTCTATTTCCCATACAGCACAGAAGTTGCAGCAACATTGCTGCAATATTGAAACAATATTGCAACGTTGCGGCAACGTCTTCTCAACTTTGCGTGCTTTATGAGTTGCCTTCGACCAAAACTCATTTGATTCTTTCATCATCACATTGATTCAACCGTTTTTTTCTCCGTGTGAATCACAAAGGATTGTTATTAATTTTATTATTTCCGTTGTATAATGTTAATAAAATCGAATTAGTCTGATAAAAATTAGAATTTTATTTTTTTTAACCAAAACGGGTTTGGTTCGTTCATCATCCGATTATCTCGACCAATACTTTTTCTTCGTGCGGCAATCAAAATTAATTGGTAAAATTACAGATAGACTTCCACTTTGTATCTTATCGCGAATTACAGATCGTTCAAAGCAAACTTTGAGGTATAAAATAGTCGAATTCGTCGGTCGAATTCGTAGGGAGAGAATTCAATTTCCACATGATCTTAAGTAATGTCTCCTCTTTGTGTAATTTCAGATGACCGGGAACTTGCAAACATGCGTTAATCAACGTGGTTCGATTAGTCGTAAATTAGCCTAGAATAGGATTAAATGTTGCGTAATAACCCAGGCGCGTCACTTTGTTGCGTCAAATTATTATACACAGAACATTTGTATGTCACTGTCCTTGTAGTGAATTCGATGGCGGGAGTAGTGTGAAGAGCGAGATATGGTTTCGCACTCGTGTGTAATGCTTATATGCATCTTTGTCGAAGAAACGACGAGAAGATAACGCGGGATGTCCCACTTTTGTCGACCATACCCGCCGGGATCCTTGGATTAATTGTCTCGCAGCGCGAAAATATCATAGCCAATAGTGAAAGCAGTGGCGGTTGGTAATTTCTCTCGGTTTTTCTTCTTTCGTAATTTTTTCATATTAAATATCTGCCATATAAGGTTTCGCCCGACAAAAGTGGGACGACAAAAAGGTTGTACAAAATATATACAAGAGAGATAAACGGTTAAGTCGAGAGTGATGGTCAACTTTCTTCGCACCTTCGTGTTAATTGAATCGATATTATCGCGTTGCGCTTATTTTGACAGATTTCAGATACAGTATTATGACGAACATTAACAATTGACGACAATCGTTATTAGAGACTTTTACAGATCGATGTCTACGTATAGACTCTTCTCAGATATCCCACACGGAGGAAAAAAATATTGCTTGATTTTTTTAACGTAACGGCGAACGGAAACGCCAGAGGCGTTTCAGTTGAAGGGAAAAGAATATCTGATTTTTAGAACTAAATTTGGTTCATAAGGGTTTCTGGTTCCTACACGCGAAAAAATAAGTTTAAGTAAATGTTACTTGTATCAGGTAATAGTTTATATAGGGTGTCCGAAATCTTTTGGAAACAAAAAATTGTAAATATTAATCAGATGAAATTGAAAAGAAAATTCATGTACCATTTTGCAAAAATCGTAATAGTTATTAAGTTATTAATGATTGAAGACTGAATGATCTAGAAGCCTTTTTAATTGATGACTTGAAAATTTGCATATTTATTTGCAAAATGGTAAAGGATTTTTTTTATTCAAAATGACATAATCTACTCTAATTATAACAGCTATTATATAACGATAGAATGAGGATATTGAACTTTGAACCCTGAATCTCTAATCTGTCGCTTTTTACTATTTTGCAAATAAGTATGCAAATTTTCAAGTTCAATCAATCAAAAGAACTTCTAGATGTGGTCATTTTCAATCATTAATAATTATTGCGATTTTTTACTTTTCTTCTCAGTTCTCGGATTAATCTTCAAAAGATCTATCATAAGTTCATTACAAGGGTATCAAATTTACTCAAAATACATTTTATATTCTCTAATAAATTTAGTACCTCAATCAATGGTAAAGTAAAATAAAAATTCAGTTTGCTTTTTCTACAGAACATAAGTTTTATGATAACCTTGAAAGAAGGATAAATTCTTTTTTTGAGTAAATGATAATGTGAAGATTTGTGATAATTATATTTCAAGACTATTATTAAGAAGATATTTTTTGTCGCGGGTAACTATTACTCGAAAGAAGGAAAGTGAACTGAATAATCGTTTCTCCATAGTAATAAAATGAGATTTTTCCCTTTATAGAACCGGATTTAGTTCACAAGAATTTCTAGCTCTTAAAATTGAACTTGCTTCACAAGGACCGGGAATTCTGTTTCTTCCGACCAAAACGCGTTTGGTTTGTTCGTTGTCACATTAATTCAAACGATCTTTTTTTCTCCGTGCATTAATAAGTTGAGAGAGTGAGAGAGACAAAAGTGGAAGATATATTACACAAATGACGGAAAAAATAGTCTTCAGGTGGCCGTTTGGCGGATATCACCGCGAAGCCAACAACGATCACAGCGGTCCCGAGGTAAAAGACGGGACCTCTCTGTGTCTCGAGAAGTTCCTCGTAACGAGATCCGTCGGAAATCAGAAAAATGAACAGAAGAATGACACAAAAAGTGGCACAAGATGAGATCGTAAAGATGAGATCGTTCGCCGAGCGTGAACGAGAGCCCATGCAGAATTAAAGAGAGACTCGAGTCCCGAGTCAATAGAGAAAAAAGGAGAGAGAAAGAGAGAGAAAGAGAGAGAGAGAGAGAGAGAGAGAGAGAGAGAGAGAGAGAGAGAGAGAGAGAGAGAGAGAGAGAGAGAGAGAGAGAGAGAAAGAGAGAGAGAGAGAGAGAGAGAGGCTGATAGCGATGATACAGATACACACTGATTCAGAATTCTCTTACCGCGGCCGCCATTTCGGAGGCTTTTCTGATATCCTTTGGTCATCGTGGAAAGCGACATCACGCTGACCGTGTTCTTATACTTGAACGGACCAGCAGTGACCTTCGGAACGGTACTGCCAGTGTAATGTAGCGAATTAAAGAGATTCACGCTTCTCTTAGTGGTGGTGCTGACGTTGCCAGTCATATTACAACTACCACTATTACCGTTACTGCTATCGTTATATCTAGACTTATATCGATTGCTACAGAGACTATCGACGGTCGTCTGTGTGTATTTCGGCAGCGTAGGTGTGGCCACGACGAACGGTGCTATAACGTGTTTGTACGGATTAGTCGTCGTCGACGTCGTTATCGTCTTGGTCTTGGTCTTGGTCTTGGTCGTCGTCGTCATTGTCGTCGTCGTCGTCGTCGTCGTCGTCTTGGCCGTCGTCGCTGTCGACGCGATTACGTTCGCGAACGGCGAGGAATGTTTTAATTTCGATAGTGGCGTGCTCTGTGTTGTTGAGTCCTGGGGGTACCTGCGTGGCATATTATCATGGCATTACTACACAGCGTGTCTTATCATATGTATCCACTCGCGAATGAGGATTTACTCGGCCACAGATGCGGATCTACATCGACAAGGTAATGGCCTTTTATCGAGAGCAACGAGTGCAAATTACGCGCGAAACGACTCGAATCCTCCGTCTGATCTTGTCACGCGCGTAACAGGAGCAAAATGGTCGCTCGGGCTGTCGGGATGGTTACCTGTAGTCAGTGCTGTTATATTGAGCGAATATCGGCCGGTTGTGCAACGTAGGACTGAAAATGCTGTCTCGGCGTACATACGTCGGAATGTTCTGCGTGTAGTCCGGTATTATGTTTTCGTGCTCCGCTACGCACTTTCCATTCAGGCAATACTGAAATCAATGTCACGCGTAACGATGATTGGCACTTTCAAACTGTGCAAAAGTGTAACATTTTAAAAGATCGAAATGTGAGAAGTTTAACAAGTTTTTCAAAAGATCAACATTTTCAAAGTTTTAATGGATTGACGTTTTTTCAAAATGTAAACATGGTTTAACATTTCGATAGATTAATATTTTCAGAATATAAGAGGTTTAACATTTCGATAGATCGACATTCTCAAAAAGTCTGACGTTCCAAAAGATCAACATTTTTTAAGTGCAAAGAGTCAAATGTAAAAAATTTAGTAGTCTTCTGAAAAATGACAGTTTTTAATTCCATTCTAATTAATTTTGAGCATTCTGAAAATTAAGAAAGAATTCTAAATAAGTAAACAGTAATTAAGAAAGTCGAAGTAATCCTCGGAATTAATTCTAATTAGAAAATTCTAATTGATAATTTTATTCTAATGTTCTTCTCATTACCTGACCGTCCCCACAAGGCGAGCCTTCCGCTGCTGGACGATACGCCACGCAATATCCAGACCCGGCGTCAAAACAGAAAAGCTGAGCGCAAACTCGGTCATCTTTCTAAAATGCAAACACGAAATAGCAACATACAAACACTGTCGGTGTGTGGTTGTACGACAGGGTTTCCCAACCTTTTTTATATTTCGCACCCCTAAAAATTTATTAATGAACCTTTGCACTCCTTACAAAAAAGAAATTATTCGTGTGTTTTATGACAAAAATTAGTTGTTAGGTTTTAAGATAAAAAGTTAATTTATAATAATTTATTATCACACATTTTGTTTTATAGAAATTAACTATCATTTTAATATTACATACAATTATTATCCATCAAGCTTCGCATAGTGATACGTAATGAATATATACGTACAGATACGTAAAAAATATATAATTTTAATAACATTTTTTTTAACCCACTAATGCCGACTGGGACAGAAATTTCGCGTTGATTTCAATGTTAGGAATTTTTATGAAAATGCTCGAAAATTTTAATCCAAAGTACATTACTAAGGGTTTTCGAGGTCGTTCTTTCTGAATTCGCTGCGAGAATCATAAAAAAATGAGTATTTGTATTGATTTGTAACGGTTTTTTTTTTCAAAAGATGTGATTTTTTCTCGTCAATTTTTTTTTAAATTATGGATTTCATCTTGATAAAAATGTTGAATATTACTGAAAAGTACTCCAATCGTGTCCTCGAAACTTATAATTTCAAAAATAGATATTTGGACGTAAAATTTTCCGTACTTTTCAAATCTGTAATACAAAATATAAGTTTTGCACCAAAAAATCAACGTTGAGCCCCGTTAGGCCCAAAAAGTACATCGGACCCAAATTTGGTGCCTACCACGTGAAAGAACTCGATCAACAGGACAACTTTTATTTTGGATAAATTTTCATAAAAATGCACTCATAACGAGTTATTCGACCGAATTCCCAAGGATCCGGCGATATCTATGGTAATACATGCATATAGTCGCCATATTGAAATTACAAAAAATTTCAGAACCACATATATTTTAAATACAAGTGCCTCGAGGACACGATTGGAGTACTTTTCAGTAATATTTAACATTTTTATCAAGATGAAATCCATGATTTAAAAAAAAATTGACAAGAAAAAATCGCATTTCTTGGAAAAAACCGTTACAAATCAATACAAACACTCATTTTTTTATGATTCTCGCAGCGGATTCGGAAAGAGCGACCTCGAAAACTCCTGGTAAAGTACTTTGGATTAAAATTTTCGAGCATTTTCATAAAAATTCATAACATTGAAATCAACGCGAAATTTCTCTCCCGACGTTAATAGGTTAATTTGATGGTAAAAATGTGGGATTGTTCCAGAACTCATCTTAATCATTAATTACAATCAACTTTCCCTCGTACCCCGAAGAATGTTTTTTCGCACCCTCGGTTGGGTGCGAAAAAACTTGATGTACGACATGTATGTATATGCGATACGTACGAAACAGGCGCTCGTCCCACGATCCTTCCGACATTGCGCGTCTAAGGACAACAGTTTCCCCGGAAGCACTCGGGGCAGTGCCTCGTCCTCGTGAGGCGCATTGTATAAGCAGGTCGCTGTATCACCGCTGCAAACCGACGAAGCTACGTGAATTTATTAATTTATATTGCTATTTGTCTCCTCAATTCCAACTGTCTAATTCTTTAACGTTGAAACGTCCATCAGAGGCATAAATACACACGAGATGTGTTCTTTGTAGCTGTATTTTCTGAATTATCTTGCAATTTTACTGTTTTTCTCTGTTTTTCACTGAATGTCAAATATACAAAGTGTTCCAGAAAGAGTATGCGAGTTATGTGTAATTATATTCCTCTCATTAAGACAAGCTCTTCTGCCTAAAACGCTTAGTTGAAAAATTAATGTAGAGTTGAGATTAAAAGAATTTCGATGTTAACGTAATGTACACAATAATATTTATTTAAACGAATTTTCAAAATTAAAGGAGATGCTCAAAATGTCCATCGCGTGAAGCAATTTTGACTTTTTCATAGACTGTGTTGCGCGTTCAAACTACCGGAGCATTGCACATCGTTCTACATTTATTTTTTATTCATTGTAAAAGTTGTTCGTTATCAATTAAAACTGAGTGAATAATTGTCCATTTTCAAATGGTCCACAGATAAAAGTCAAACGTGAATTTAATAATTTGCATAAACATTATTTTTTATATCACGTTATATACAGGCTGGGGGGTTATAAGTTTACAACCCGAAGTGTGAAGGTAGATTGGGTTAAGACAAACATAAAAGTCCTATACCGTTTTGCGAAATTCGCAATAATCTATATCGAATCAGTCTCAATGTTATATCAAACGTTGCCTATATTGATCAGATATTGACATTAATATCAATTTCATGTAGATTCGATTACACATAATCGATCGCTCATATACAGGGTGTGTAAGAAGTACTGGGACGGCGAAGCATCTCGAAAACTAAGCATTTTAGAAAAAAAATATTTCAGACAAAAGTTATTTAAATTAATTGGTAGAAAAAGATGATAGAAAAGATGGTAGAAAAGATGATTGATATAATAAAAAATTGAGGTTTCTATTTAAGAAAACTAATGAACAATGAATACCTCGGAAGTGGTGCCATCTGTAAACAAAATGATATAGTCGTTTTATATCCCCTTTGAAACTATACAATTTTCGTCTAAAATATTTTTTTCCTAAAATGCTTAGTTTTCGAAATATTTTGCCGTCCCGATACTTTTTATACGCCCTATATGATAATATACAAGGTACCTAACGGTAACACGCAAAGTTTTCGTATACACATAGAGTAGGTCAAACTGGATAAAAAGATCCTCTGCTATTTTGCGAACAACCACGTACAGTTTTGAGTTATCAATTAAAGAAGATTTGCGAGTGAGTTTGCGCTATCTAAAGAATATTCATAAATGATCGCACGCGATTATCTTCTTCCAGTCTTCTGTAACTTTTCTTTTGCAAAATGTGTGTAAGCTGCGTACAGACTTGAGCATGAACGCGCATGAGGCAAGCCGAGGCCGCATGAGCATGCAATGTGTGGACGTTGGTCCGAGGCGCGGCAGATTGCCTCGGATGATTCGCCGCACAGGCTCGGACCGAGCTGAGCGCTGTCGGTCCATCAAAGATGTAATTCGTTTGGACGCACTCGAGCACGCGTACGGAAGATAGCTGCGTACGACACGAAAAATTAAGAACAGAACTGCTGACTCCGAACGACCGGAGCAACGTCGAACAGTTGCCTCGACTTGCCTCTCATGCGTTCTCATGCGGAGACTTCAATTTTCAATCCGAGTCGCATTCGGTGTGGCCTCATGCGCGTTCGTGCTGAAGTCTGTATCCAGCTTTAGAAGATTCTTTTATTGGCTTTGATCTAATTTATAAGTACTCGACGGCAGACATCGCCATCGTAGTTTATTTAAGATCGTGCAACTCAGATCGTTAATAAGTCCAAATGTTACATAGTTGTTCGTAAAATGGTAGATGAATTTTTCGTTCAATTTCGTCTAATCTACACGTACATGAAAGTTTTATATAGCTATCATCAGGCACTCTACGTAGATTATAAGTCGTCTCAACAATAGAACAGAGTGGGTATCGTTGCCATACTCGGGATTCTTTTGGAAAAAAAGGTACAGAGGGATCATCTGGTTGTCTTGAAGCTGAAAATGCCGATTCAATGTTTGACGTAATAACAGATCACACGCCCCTTGGACGTCGGGAGCCGAAAAAAGAAAGAAGAAACAAGAGGAAGAACGCATAATTACTGTTTTCCGCTGGGTAACGATTACCTACTTTAAGAAGTGATGGAAAGAGGACACACTGCAGTGAGACCACTTGAAACCTTTCTCAGTATGTCTGAGGTCGCTCATGATGTACCCGTCTTCCCAACGACATTTTTCAGCACCTGGTCCACCTAGATAGCTGGGCGGAGGTGAGCCATCGTGAACGGCACCCAATCTACGATTAACAGGACGCGCGCGATATTAGCGTCTTTCGTCCGAGACATTCCGCTGACCGTGTTATGCATTATTTATGCAAACGAACATCTAATGCAAATGAACATCGGCCAACTTACAGTTATACCATGATTGAGCGCGTGCGCGAGTGTATTCGGCTCGAAGGTAAAGAATTGATGAGGAAAAATTCCAGGCACTTACAAGTGACCCACTTCGTGGGCAGCGACGATGATGCCGCTGAATCCGCCGGTATCTTCGATGATAGCGACCGAATTGACCTTTTCGAGACGTTTGTTCACCACGCATGCCCCGCCGACGTACGCGAATCCTGTGCAAACAAGGACCTTCAGCGCATCTCGCGTTTACCCTCCATATTGCGTACATCGAATAGAGCGCTAATTCGTTACTACCGAGAGCTGTCGCGGCATCGAGTAAGCTGTCTCGTTAAATTAGTACCTATATAGCGACGTGTACAAGCGCATTTTCACCGTGAACCCATGTCATTATCATCGACAAGTACCTTCGATCGCTCGTACACGACCCACTTTATCAATTGCGTTTCTCATACACGCAGGACATTACCGAAGAATATACCATATCGCATCTCGCATGACTGGGATATATTCGTATTGAAGTCGAGATTTAGAAAGGGTGCGGCCGAGATCGTGACCGGGAAGGAGCTGATTCACGGAGAAAAATGTCTGGCCGAATGAATCAGTTTTCCGGTGAAATACAAACGATTCAGAAATCCCGACTGAGAGTAGAATTCCGTTTCAGTTAACTGGAAATTTGAAAGAATTTAGAATTCTGGTAACTTCCATCGAAATTTCCGAGTCGTTCATATTTCGCCAGAAAATGGTTCCACTTGACCAAACATTTTTTTCCTCCGTGTTCTACACGAAAAAATATGTCGGAGATATAGAATAAACGTTTTCCATACGAGGCTTTATTTTCGAGAAATCAACTTTGAAGTTTCATCAGGTAAACGTATAATTTATTTATTGCACTTGACATTAATCCTCATGAAATGTTTTTCTACTCGTGTTTGTAAACATTCACTATACTTTCTACTTGTGTCTCTCAGTTTGCGTGACACTATCGTAATAAGATATAGCAATCGGAAATGTACCGTTATGACTCTCGTAAGAGCTCAATCCACATTGACAGTTTGGCAGTCTTTGCATAAAAGAGCACAGTTGTACATTAAACATCAAGGACAATATTCTCAGCGTCTTGTTTCTTAGTGAAATGAAGAAATTCTTACCACTCTTTATAGAATATTTAATGTAAACTTTATGGTTAACTTCAAAGTCGAACTTCTCAAAAATAAAATAAATTAAATAAAAAAATAAAATAAAATAATAAAGTAAATTTTATGGTTAACTTTAAGATTGATCTTCTCAAAAATAAAGCCTCGTATGGGAAAAAAATTTATTCTGCATTTTCGACTTATTTATTCATGCAGAATCGTCCCTTTCGCGATTGCACCATCATTTCGACCACACCCTGTAAATTACAACAATTAATCAGTAAAAGTTATAAAAATTATTTAATATATTATAATATATTATACTATATTATAATATATACTATATTATAATATATTAGAGTAATTGAATATCTGTTCATTTTACAATATAAAAATTTATATCATACGTAAACTTCTTAAGTAGCTTCTCATATTACTCTCAAATGCTTTAAATATTATGAGTATATCTTAGCCGGACAAGAGCTAGTATGGTACTTTCTCAGTGTGTGTGTGTGTGTGTGTATGTGTATACGAATGTTAATGACTTCCAAAAAATTCTCTTCGCATTGCAAATCCAAGTGTATTATTTTTATATGCATGAATACGCAATGCTCTTCGCACGTGTTTTACCATTTTACATCGCGTCATTTAACACGTTAAAATGTATGAGTTTATAAAGCAAAAAAAAAACATATGAAAAGAATTTCCAGCCAAAATAAATGCACTTGGATTCGGAGCGTACTCAAACGTTCGCGTTCAGAGTGAAAATGCGCCCATTGTTAATTCACCAAAGATATTGCGGTACTTTGTTACTATTAGACGTGAGGTCACGTGAATTTTTATCTTCCGTTTACCGTATCGAAGGCTTCACCGAGGTCCGCGTTTCCGTTCGCGATATCGACAAACCTTCGTACTTTGACTCAGACCGAAATGACAAGTGCATTCTTGGAACGTTTTCTCTATGTCGGGGAAATTTCATCCCCGCGTAGGAAGACGCGGACCTTATCGGATCCCGCAACTACGGCACAGCTACGGTAAACCGAAGATCAACAATATTAATTCGCACGAGTAAATGTTAAGACAATTAGTCATCGATGTAGTCGGCATGCATCCGGCGTTAACTCATCGCCCGATGGTTAATGGAGAGTTAGCCGGGATATCAGATACTGTAAAAGTAATAAATTCACGTTCTCGAGTGTGTTCTCGAACGACGTTTGTGCGGCGAATCGGCCAATTAACGGATTAAGATGGCCCCCCTTCCCTTTCCCTTTACTGTTATTCTGATTTGAGATCGAACGACGGCGGGAGATGTGCCTCTCGGCGTATTTAGAGCTGGTGTGATTTCAAAGACTTACCAAACCACGATCCATGACAGTAATGCAGCCGAAAAGATAACAAGAGTCGTAAATTATTCAGAAGAGATACAAAACAGAGAGCACAGGCGGCGTAAGGATGAGAAAAGAGACAGACAGACAGAGAGAAAGAATTGAATTTTGCAGAAATTTTGCCGCTTAGGTACGTGTGCCTCTTTTTCGCCACGAACGACAGCTTAGGCTACGAAGTGTGTTATCGATCTTTGACAACGATTCCGGCGTGTAAGACTGTGAAGTAACAATATGTACATAAATGCGGAAACAGTAAGAGTCGTGTGTGTGGGTACAGTGGCGGATGACAGAATTGTACAAAGTGGGCGTACCGTCAGTGGGCGTTTGCAATTCGCAAAATGGTTGGTGCAAAGATAATTGCGGTTTCTATCGTTTTAAGTTTGGCGCCGGTTTCTCTAGCTACCGTTATCCTCTTCAGAATTCCACCTAAGAACAAACAAACTTGTTTCCCGTTGGAAGAAACGCGTGCAGGCCAACAGTCTTTATTTTGATTAATAAATATAATTTTTAACTGATATACACTCAAAAAAAGTAATTTTAGAGTAAGCGAAATCATCTAAATTTTAGAGGATTTTACTCTTATATATGGCCTTAAGAAGATTCTTCTTATTATAAAATTAAGAGGAAAATATATTATAAACAAATTATTCTTAAAGTTAGAGGAATTATATGTTATATGTACAATGCAAATCTTATTTAATGTAATATAAATTTCCTCTTATATACAGATTATTTAATCTTTTTTTAAGAGGATTATTATTTATTCTTACTGGTTATACTGATTAATCTAAAAAAATTATTATAATGTATAGCGAAAAATAATATATATAAATATATAGATGTACTTCTGATTCCAGTTCTACAATAAGTAGGCACGGATGAAATAAGATCATCATAATAAATAAATTTCCCGTCAGTTTTGTTACGGACTTCTTAGCTACAATGATGTTCATCATAACTAATTCTGTGAAACATAGTTAAAAAAAGAATATATTATTTAACTTCTTGCAATAGATTAGAAACTGTATTTGACCGAATATGGGTAAATTATTTTCGTAAATTATAGCAACACGCATACCTTTTTTAAAAAGCGTTCCAAATATTCTGACCCATGAGTGTATTTTTTCGTTATTTTTTCATTTTTCTGGAGGTAGAGCATGATCGGACAAAAGAAGTCGACATTCCAATCAACATATTCTTCTTCATATAAGAGGAAAATTAATTGATATAAGAGGAAATCCTCTTGAAATATGAGGAAAACATAGAATAATATCTAATAAATTTTAGACGAATGGTTCACTGTAATCGCTTTATCGAAAGAGGAATCCTTTTCCTGTAAAAGGCTTCACTTAGAATACGAGGCAATGGGAAAAATCACTTTACGAGTAGAATACTTTTTTTGGGGTGTATTTTATACTCTCTCGCGTCTTTATACTCGACACGTAAAAACCGCAATTATACTAGTCTACATTTTGCAACTTTTTTTTGGTCACAAAAGGAGTGACACATGATTTCAATAGGATATTTCCCGTAGATTACGAATCTGAAATCCAAAATGTTCCATCATGTCACGTTTTTGAGAAAATAGGGGTCAAAATGTGAAAAAACGTTTTTGGCACTTTTTGAACCTTTGTCTCACGGAGTCTAAATTGGCGCGCGCCCAGTCAAGAAACCAGTGCTATACGACTCCACAGTATTGTCACATGTTATCTAGTGTCATATATTTAAAGTTTAAGGTTCAAGCTTTAATTTGAGCCCACGTACAGTATTGTATCACATCCCGTTTTCTTGTTACGAAGCTTCGAAAAGTGCCAAAAACGCGTTTTTTTCACATTTTGACCGCCATTTTCTCAAAAACGTGACACGATGGAACATTTTAGATTTCAGATTCGTAATCTACGAGAAAAATCCTATCGAAATCATGTGTCACTTGTGACAAAATCAGTGTCGACTAGTTATTTTTACGCCAACCTGATAGATCATCGTGACTCGATTACGAAAGTCCGGATTTTCAGCACGACCTGAAGACTACAAATACGCCCGTCGATCCGCCACTGTGGAGGTACTGAAACCTAGCGCACATGTACGATAGACGTAGACACACATACAGAAGTAAGATTTGAAGCAACTGTGCAAGGGAACAGCAGAGAATTCGAGAGAGGCGGTTGCTTTCGCGCGTTGCGAGTCGTCGACGCATTCTCATTGCCGAATTGCAATCTGTGCGACGCGTGCGGCGCGGAAGAAAATCAGTGCACCGTAGGAAGAAAAGAGTACGAGGCGTTAGAGAAGAAAGTATTTTGAGCGGTACATAAATGAGCTGCACGTAACAGAGCAGAGGCCCGCTTCGAGTGATTTCAGTAATTACTTTCTACATTACGAAATGCGTTGGAAAGAGTAAAGAGAACAAATGACGCGGACGAAAGTCTGTGACGCGTTCGTTCCGGTTTCTCGGGCTCCACCAATTTTGCGAGAGTCTCCGTTGCAAAAAAAAGAAGAAAAAATAAGAGAGAGAGAGAGAGAGAGAGAGAGACAGAGAAAGGTGCGCTAAGATCTCGGCCGAACGATCACGAATAGATTCATACGTCGTGCCGGGTCCCGATTTGAAAATTGAGACATCGCAAAGGCGGTGCGCATGTGCATGACTTAAACAGACAAGTTGGGAAAGCTAAAACAACAAGATTCGCCTTCTTCCTGAATCCGAGAGAACGTACCTGCGGTTCCTCTATTGCACACGTCATTCGCGTATTGCCTCCTGCACATATCTAATCTGCAATGCAACAACAAAAATTCTCTTTATCATGTCAATTCATACTCGGTCCGACCTGGTCACGGGACAGACGGAAATGATGGAGAATTCACCCGCTCTGCTCGGACTAGTCCCGTTGCGAATACTGTACAAGACAATAATAAACATGGCAAGGATAAATATGTGCGAAGTCGTTGAGTCGTCACGTCCGACTCGAGCCAGAGTTCGAGAAACGATTTCTAAACGTCGCAATGTCCACTGGTCTTCTAGGGAATCAAAATATTAATGGTGTGGAAATCTCCTCGGGGGAATAATCGCTACGCAGAAACAAAAAAAAAAGAAAAAGAAAAAAGAGAGAGAAAGAGAGAGAGAGAGAGACGCAACACTACCCTGCATTTCGGGACGGATTTGAGCGATGCTTTTGCAGTGACCGACGGTGCCGACCCAATTCTCCGTACTTAATTCTCCTGGAATAACTTCCTCGTTCTCGACTCACAGGAAGAGAAAATCCTATGGAGACGGTCTGGGTCGGAAGTTATTTCCGGGATTAGCGCAAAAAGTTGCTCCAGAAACATCGGATGATTTTTAAATCAACCAGAATCGTGCAGGGCGGTGTGCATAATAGAAAGCAGCTACCCGCGAAGCGCACGTCACAAACCAGGTAGTGAAAGCGGTATAATTTCGTTGAAGGGTGAAATTTCGTTGCCGTAGATACGCGAAAACGCGAGCGCTGCGCTTATCTGCGACGAGCGGCAAAGTCGCTGTGGTGGACGCGAAGCGCCTTCGCGTAATTGTAACGGCGGAGTCTGAATACACATCGAAACTATATCGATTTCAAGCTTTGTAACAATTTCTCCTTACAAAATCAATTCTCCTTCCCCCGAAGGCAGTTTCGGAAAAACGCGTGTTGCGCAAGCGTGTGTGTTGTGTGTGTGTCTTGTGTGTGTATTTATAATTAAAACGTCAAGTCTACACACGTAAAGATTCCCTTTCGCTGTTGTACATATATACCGAGTGTATAAAAAGTACCGAGACAGCGAATATCTCGAAAACTAAGAATTTTAGAAGAAAAGTTTCAGATAAAAGTTGTATGGTTCCAAGGGGAACATAAAATCATTTTGTTTACAGATGGCGCCATTTTCGAGAAGGTATTCACCGATCATTACTTTTCTCAAATGGAAATCTCAATTTTTTATTATATCCTCTTTTCTTATATAAATTAATTTTAGCAACTTTTATCTGAAACCTTTTTTTATTTGCCTAATATTTTTTGAGATACGTTATTTTTAAGGAAAACTTAGCAACTTTTTAAATATTTAATTTATGGTATTTATTCTCGCTAATTATTTGTCGAAAAAAAACTTGGTACGAGACTTTTTTACTCTATTTGGTTTCAAGAATATTTGTTACAGTAGCGCCTTGACTTTTGTTAATTGGATAATTTTGAAATTTCCAAAGGTCGATAAGTTAACAAAAGTTAGGGCATCATTGTAACAATACATTCTTGAGACCAAATAGAGTAAAAAAGTCTAGTACTATTTTTTCTTCCGACAAATACTTAGCGAAATATCGAGTTAGCGAGATAAGTTAAATATTGAAAAAGTTATCAAGTTTTCCTTAAATATCTCAAAAACTATTAGGTAAATAAAAAAATGTCTCAGAAGAAAAGTTGCCCAAATTAATCGGTAGAAAAGGATGATATAATCAAAGAAGTTGAGGTTTCCGCTTAAGAAAAGTAACGATCAATAAATATCTCGAAAATTATGCCATCTGTAAACAAAATAATGTAGTTGCTTTACGTCCCCCTTGAAACCATACAACTTTTGTTCGAAACATTTTTTTTTCTAAAATGCTTAGTTTCCGAGATATTTTGTTGTTCCGTCGGAGTTTTTTGTACACCCTGTATATGCACGGTATAATAATATGCACAACACAACCTGATTGCACGAGTAATCTTGCAAACTTTACACTCGCGTGCGGGTTATACAATCGGCAAAATACGTCCCAAGTTTGCGGATCTGCCGGACGCATGTAATCAGATCGCCGCGATTAGCGCGATTAACCGGCGTAATAGCAACGGGATGCACGGCCGTTAAGCGCGCGTTATTAATTGGTAAGATTAGTGGTACCATATACCCGCTCGCATTCGCTTCTCGCTCTCGAGAGTGCGTAAGAAGCTCTGGTGAATTGCAAGTGCATTTGTCTCTCGCAAACGGGTCATTGCAAGTCTCTCGATTTCACTCGTCGCCCCCCCCCTCCCCCTCATTACACGGCATCATGCAAGAAAGATATTCACTCACTTCCTCTTCGTTCAGCCCAATGCAACATTATGGAGCAATTGAATCGCGAGTTGCTAGTATGCGTCGCGCGTCAAACGCTGATTCTCTCATCGCGTAATCACTCTAGAAAGGAATATCTTCCTCGAGACTTGGACTGCCCCTTAACAACGCTAGTGTACCTGTTAGACTATATCACCATGGCTAGTCCGTCAATACCGTCAACTATATATACAAGCTAGCGGATGCTGTACAATGTAAGAGATACAGTACGACAGATGTGAAAAAAAAAAAACGTAACAGTAATGAAGCGTGATCTATGTAATAAACCATACCGGCAGTTCCCTTAGTGCAGCGGCCGCCTTTCCTACGACGGCACATATCATACCTGTTTTGCGGGATAAAAATCGAGAATATGAAATCATCAGAATAGATCGTAATGATTATAATAAGTGGTACAGATACTGTAGCGCAAGAGAAGAAACGCGGTGCGGTCACGAGCTTTATGAACGTCGGAACGGAAAACGAGAGGAAGAGAAAGAGAAAGAGAGTTCTACGTTCCAGATAGAGAAATTTTCCGTAAAAAGATTTTCCCATAAAACTCTTGCGAATTACGGTGTATCTCGAGGAAGAGGTCCGAGATCGAATTTTTGTTTCTCTTTGTACGTTACGATTTCAGTGAACGTTATTCTATCAGAAACATGTTGTTATGCCGAGCAAAAAAGAAAATTTAGAGAATACGAAAGATTCATTCAGTAGGTACTAACAACGTTTTTATTTTAATACAAATTCTTTCATATTCAATTGAAATAAACGATCACTTTCATGAGGAATCATCGTATTGAGGAAATATATATCTGCTAATTACTAAAAAAAAATTATTAAAAAATTAATTAATTTGAAATTAATTAAAAGTGACATCTAATTAATTAAAAAAATTGTTTCTTAACGCGAAAATACATATGTATATTGATATAATTAAATATGTCGTTAGTACACACCGAACAAATATTTTCCTATTTTTCAGTTATCTTCCTCTACGATGTACTAATCATAAATATGCGTGAAAATTCGAATTGAAGTGCATCCGTTCATCCGTTACTGTAAGATATTAAACGAGCGATAAGCGCGTTTGTTTTATCTCGTGTAAATAAAAAAATCTACGCGACTCAATTCGACCAAAAGTTCGGTCGGTTCTACTGGAAATGTACTTGTTGAAATAACAACTGGAAAATTTGGGTCATCAACGTTGTATCGTTGTGTTCTGTGTGGGCACTGCCGCCGCCGACTCGTTAAAGTCGCGCGCGTTTCCTTGCGGAGCGGGCACTCTTACTTTGTAACGGCAACGGCGATGTCATACACAGGAAGCCTCCTCTCCCGGAAAAGATATTTGCCCATGTCAGTCAGAGCGGCTGCCGAGTCGATTGCGTCTCTTCCCACGCGATTCCTTTCTAAGTACGGCGTCGCGTCCCGTCCCTGGGTACAAGGCGATTTTAGTTTACACGAGCTGTTCCGTCGCTATTGCATTTCCTGTCGGCCGCCAATTCTTTTTTTTTCTTCTTTTGACGAATACTTTCTTTAGAAAATTACAACTTTCTCAAGCCTAGGAAGGCAGTCTTGTGCTGAACCGTAGCAATATTAATAATAAGAAAACTACTAATTACTATATATAAAAAAATAACTTGTATTATATAATCTCATAATTTCATAACTCTATAAGCGACTATAAATCTGATTCGTCAAGAGTACTCGTAAATTTGTTACACAGCCGAAGGAAAATGAACAACGATTCATTATTTTATACAGAACATGCAGAACACTACGCGAATAGTATTGGACTGTCCAGGAAATTTTTATATCGGTTTCCAAAAAAAATGTATCTATAAATAAATTTATATCTAAATTTATATATATTAGGAGTGTAATTTAGTTTGGAGGGTTTTGCAAGAGATTGGCACTAATGCCAATTTTGTCAAAGATATTCCAATCACCTATTGTTTCTTAATGCTTTAATCCATAATATTAATCCATGATATTTAATCATTTACTAGCAATAGACGCAGTAAAAATCGTGTTAATACCATCTTAAAAATGGAGCTTCCTAAACATTAAAGAGCATTTTCGACATGCGTTGCTTTTATTTTTTAATCAGAAGAAAACGGAATTATGGATTATCGGAAAATGCTATTGCGAATTGGTTGAACATTTGCATTTTGTTGATCGCCAGACAAAAAATGAAGAGTTTTTTGTATCGAATTCTTACTGGGGATGAAAAATGGATCTGTTTCGATAATTCCAAACGAAAAGAATCATAGGTTGATCCAAGGCAACCAGCAACATCCATTTCGACGTGCAATATTTATGATTCAAAAGTATTGCTACGTATTTGGTGGGGTCAAGAAGATATTGCATACTATAAACTATTAAATCCGAATAAAACTGTCACCGCTGGTCGTTATCGACAACAATTATACAAATTGAAGCGACCAAAACCGATCACCAATTACAAGTAAGCGACGCAAAATGATCTTATGGACGTTATTAGAGCTGGAATGGGAAGTTTTACCGCACCCCGCATATTCTCCAGACATTGCTCCATCCGATTATTACTTTTTCTGGTCGATGCAACATGCTCTAGAGAGTGCACACTTTTATAACTTGGAACAAGTGCGAAAACTTGTTGAAAATTGGATCAACTCCAAAGAAGAATCTTTTGATCGTCGCGGAATCCATCTCTTGCCAGAAAGATGAGAAAAAGTTGCAAAAAACGAAGGAAAATATCTTGATTAAAATATTCGTTCATTACCTTGTTTAAATAAATCAGTTTTTGAGAAAAAGAAAACCCTCAAAACTAAACAGTTCTAATACTAAGAGAACTTTTCTTGAATATCTCCTTATTACCATTAAGTTTATCAAACATTCATTAAAATTTGGAAACCTCTCGTACAATAAATGATTTAATATATATCAGAAATATGCAATGTATCGCTATCTGGATGTATCCGGAATGCATCCTGCGATCTCCATTCTCCATCCTGGTTTCCTGATTCAGCATCCTGCTCTCCGCTGCTTTGTCGTGTGGTATCAATACTCATATCGACGTTGGCGTACACGATTTGATCGAAGAAATATGTGTCATAATTAATACTGACAAGAGATTAAATGTTTTAGTCAAAGACGAATACGCGTGGGAGAAAGATCTCATTTCGTGTAGCTGAATGAGAGACGAGAAATCCATCTCCGTTCCTTAAGGGGGAATTACATGCAGGCCGTTCTCAAGGCTATTTTTACGAATTTTTTTAATAGAAACGGTAGGATGAATGGACATGAAATTATCACAGTGTATTCACTAATGTTCAAAGTATAAAATAAATTTGTTACTATCTATATGGAAAGTACATATAAGACTTTACACGCGTTTATTTGGAAATTATCTCATTTTTTTAAATTGTCGACACAATTACGCAAAAACTACTGAATGGAATAACTTGAAATTTTTACACAATATACGGTAGACATGTAGTTTTCCGTCTCTACCTCGAACACAGTTATATTTTATTTTATTCATTTTTTGAACATGATTACAAATTGAAAAAAGTTTCGTTTCCGATACTTTTTTTTTGTACAGTCATTATTTTTCCAAATTTGGCTTCATTTTGGTACGGGCTATAATGGCGACCGTATATTTTAAAAATCTTTCTCACTTTTTGGTTTCAGAGTAGTTCAAAGAGGCCCGGAATTATGTCGGCAGCAAACATAGAGCTCGCAAACGGATGACTGCATTTTTATCCATAATTACAAATTGGACCGGTTCTTGTGATTCAATAAAATTTATTTTATACTTTGAACATTAATGAATACTCTGTGAAAATTTCAAGTTCATTGATCTCACCGTTTCTGTTAAAAAAAATTCATAAAGATAGCCTTGAAAACGACCTTTCGTAAGTCGTTCGTTCCCTCCTTAAATTCATCTGCATATTCAGCTGCGTTATAGAACTCAGTCGAGGTAATTGAAAATAACTGACTCGTTAGAAACCTCCTAAAAGAATATTTTTGTTCCTGAGCTTCTTCTAGTTCCCAGGCGACAGAAAGTTCAGTTGCGATGATTGCTATTTCTTCCACGTGCAATAATAACAGACGCGCGATACCACACGTCTTCCACGTCGACCGTCGACTTGGAACGTACGAGAGTAAAACAATGGATAAAAAGTATCACGTCATAACCTTCGTCAATCGGCGATCGTCGTTAAGTGATCACAATGATCAACACATCCCGGATCTTTGCGGGTCGAACTCAGCGTAGTATGTCGCATACTTTCTTAAGTGTCACACTACGCTTCGAGTCGGCGAGCAATTCGCATATGAGCGAGTATCGGTATCACGTTTAGCTGCGACTTTCATCGGATGGTTAAAATGTTTCTTCGGTTCTTGCCAAGTATTGGATCGTACATCGCGGAGAAATGTTTAATCTGGATCGCTGGCGCGGATTTATCTCCGAAATTTCGTCCATGTTACACTCAGTTTCCTCCTCAAGGGAGAGCCTCCTCCAGGCAGGTCGTTCCTCTCCGCTGCACTGAATCGGGCTCTCGTCGTTATCGCATTGTTTAACGCACATTTCTCCAGCCGAATCGTGCCTGCACAAGTGTCAGTGTCAGTTCCAGAGTATCCGGAACTACGGAGCAGTCAGGAGCAGGATGCTGAATTGGAAAGTCAGGACGGAGGAAGCGAGGCGCGCCAGGATACAAGTAGCGGTATACATTATTCATTTCCTCCCAGGATTGGCAAGTAACGCACGTTGCTCGTAACCGTTGCCGTTGCATTTCTCCAAAAATAATAACTTGGTAGCGACGCCATTATTCATTTATTTTTTTTTTAGTTACTAACGGTATCGGTAAATCAATTGCATTTTTTCGGCAACGATAACGAATGTAATCGTTATTTTCTTCAAACGAGTAACTGGCTAACGCTAATTGGAAACGAGTCTTTGAGAAAAAAGTTCGGTCTTTGAAAAAAAAAAGTTCGGTGAAGAAAGTAACGAAAATTGTAACGATTCATTACTTCTCGAGCAGCAATAACATTACTTTTCGAAAGAAACTTTTCCAAGTCTGAAACTTCCAGATTACTTTTCGAAAGAAACTTTTCCAAGTCTGAAACTTCCAGATGTGTCAAACGATTTATTATAAGCGAGGTTTTCCATCTTGAGGAATGTTTGTGATGAATCCAATGAGGATAAAATAGCCGAAATTTAGGTGGAAATTTTGCAGAACGCATGTGTACCGATAGATTAACGGAAAATTGTTAAATGTCTGTTTCTTACCCGTGAGATGATTATTCCCGCTATACTGATACGTATTTTCGGACCTTTCAGTAATTTGTACCTCAGATCTACTCCGTTCCAAAAAGATACGAAGTATCTCTTTATCTGCACGTTATCGCCGCCGTGCAATCTGGAACGAGAAAAGCGCGTTCGTTCAACAGACAAGTACGTGCCGAGAATGATAAATATTAAGGCGAAATTGCAATAATCAAATAACGAGAAAATCAGGCGTTGTTACTCAGCTGTGCGCACTCGTTGCATCAACGTGACGTTACGGTACAAAATACTAACAATTTGCATCGTAAACAGCAACCTATGGTAACCGTTGCAGGAGAAAGCGTTAAAAGAAGAAGGGGAAAGGTGAAAATAATATCGCACGCGACGGTTAGAAAATTCTGAATAGCACGAGGAAGATGATAAGAATAGAAATTTATTTTTATAATAATTTTATAAAACAAGGAGAAAGAGAGAGAGAGAGAGAGAGAGAGAGAGAGAGAGAGAGAGAGAGAGAGGGAGAGAAAGAGAGAGAGAGAGAGACAAGCTCGGTTGGGTAACACGTGGCAATGAAAAAACACGTTTTCGTTGAAAGAAACAGAAATTCTGATTCTCATGAATGATTGATTCGGTGACGAGTCAATTCATCAATCAATCAATAAATGATCAATTCATAAGAAGTATAAATTCTGCTTCAGTTCTACTTCGACCGAAATATGTTCGTTCATTATCACGCTAATTCAGCCAAGCTTTCTTACCTCTCTTTTTCTCTCTCCGTACACTGAGAAAAAATTGTATTAAAATTAAACAAATATTTGTTCGGATACGACTGTGAATACATTTGTTCAAATTAAGTGACTAATTTCTGAAATGAAATACAGTGAAACAGAGAAGTTCTCTCAATGTAAACTTTTTTCTTCACTTTTAGAAAATAATTGTTTAATTTAAGTAAATGTGTTCACAGTCGTATTCGGACAAATATTTGTTTAATTTTAATATAATTTTTTCTTAGTGTATAAAGTATAAAAGTAAAATTTAATTTCTATCAATTCCATTTCTTGTGATATTCGAATTTCAGAATAATGAGAAACTTTTTTTCTAAAAATTTGATCTCAAGAATCAGAAATCCTGCAAACAAAGCGTACTTGGTTTGTTTGTTGTCTCGTTAATTCAGTCAAGTCTTTTTCTCCTTGCGAATCATAAAACCAAATTTTTATTTTTATTATTTCCATCGCACTAGTCATATTTTTTTAGCTATCGCATACGGCATTATTAAACTAAAATTGGATTCCTAAGGGCCAAAATTTTTATTTGAGAGTAATTATGAGATTTCCTTTAAACAAAATGCGTTTAACTCGCTCATGTCAGCTGGCGTCAGCTGATCAAACTTTTCCCGCGTCGCGTTTAAATTATCTCTATATGATGTGCAATCGCATTAAACAGTCGGCTCACCTGTACCCATCGTAATCCACGATACAAAGGATTTCCGGGTAAATGACGTATGGTGCTTCGCGCTTCGACCTGTCACTGGTCGAACGCTTCATCCTATACCTCTTGGCTAGGTGATCGGGTTCCATGAGCGCTGAAATATTTGTATCATGTAAGCGAACAAAGTGTTTCCCACCGCTCACCTTTCGCCCCACACGCATATATCGTTCGGTATTGTCCCGGCACGTATAACGCACACTCACAAAAGTCGCTGTACTCGTCACCGGCGGGTCGATCCACCTTCCTGAAAACGATGTGGTGACTCGTACGTCTCAGATCGTCGCTCTCGGTGAGATTGGGCAGTAGTGCGGGTTCCCCAAGAGCCGGCGCTTTGCTCACTACTTCTTGCAGAACCCGTTCTGGCAGTGGCCGTATAACTAATTCTGAACCGATAGTTCCGTCCTGAGGAGCAGCCCGAGTAGAAAAATTAATAGGGCTCTGGCAAGAGCCTGATTATTTTTCCCTAACACTAATCGGGCCCTAGTAGGGAAGAAAGACAAGGGCCCTACAAGATGTGTAGGAAATGGTTTAACGGGTCCTTATAAGGCAATATTACGAGGGGCTTATAAGGAAATATTTTTATTATTGCTTGAGTGAAAATATTCGTTCTTTTCATTCCAAGAAATTTAGACTGTAATTTCTTTATTTCTTTATAACCCTGTTAGTATACAAGAATTTTTTATTTTAAAAATATGGCATACTTTACAATAAAATATAGCATTCTTTATACATAAAAATCCTGTTATTATTAAAAATTACTGTTTTTATTAAAGATTGCTGTTTTTCAAAACGAAGGCAATACTGGAAAAATCCTTGGAAGAGACTAATGAATATGACAACTAATAAAACTAATAAAATTTGTTTTTAATTGCGATATAATTAAAAAATCTTTAAAAGAACCAGATAGAGCGTACCTACTAAAATGATAATAAACTATGAAAATTTTGTTACATGCTTAGATCTTATTAATTTTCTACAACAAAACTTGATTTTGTTTATCTAAAGCATCCTTAAAAGATCCTTCTAAGGCCCACATCAGATTTTCATATTGAAGAGTTATTCCGTAAAATCTAAGGCATTCCTAAAAAATTCTTCTAAAGCTCTTATCAATTTTCCCTCTATCAAAATTTATTAGATCTAAGGCATCACTAAAAAATCTTTCTAAGGCCCCCCTCAGCTTTCCTTATCAAAGTCTTATTTCGTAGAATCTAAGGTATCCCTAAAAGATTTATCTCTTGATGTGGCAATAATGAGGCCTCCCTTTTTAGGGCTTTCAGCCTTATCGGGGCCTTATGCTTCATGAGGATGGCCTTAACAATTTTTTGCTCGGGAAAAAGTGTCGCAAATTTCAACGAAACTTTGGGTCTCGCCTGGCGAAATTTATCCTATGATTCGTTTTTCTCTTGCTCTTTCTTCAACAATTCATTCTCTATTCCATTTTCGTTTCCTCTATTTATAATGTGTGCATCATTCATGATAAGTAACGTGAATCACCTGGAGAATGATTTCCGCAAATAAATCCCCCCCCCCAAGGGGATGGTTTCCTCAAATAAATGAGTAAGCGAGTGAAATTTGATGAAACCCGACTCGCTTAACTTCCGGTCGTTTCCCAACATGCCCGTGCGTTTTGAGCCTCGCATAATAACAATAACAATAACGACCGGCGTTATACAAGCGCAATTGACGCCTAATTATCAGACGACTCGCGTATTCTTAGATAGATGTTCGCTCACATTGCGCAGAGCTTCAGCCATCCACGCAGATCTGTATCGGAGCGGTATGAATTATGCAGACCAGACCGAGGCGCATGCGCGTTCGATTCGTTTCCATCGTGGCTGATTGCCGAGCGCGCTTTCGCGGCGTTGCGAGCGATTTGAGCGCGTATTTCCGATCCAGACACACGATCGAGCCGTTCGATCCGCGACGCTGAGCGGTGCAGTGGTCACAGGCCGGGGTAGGGGGAGTGAAAGCGAAAGGTCAGGACACGCGGGGTCATTTAGAACAACGCTTTTATCGGGCATTATGTAAGCGAGCTACATTATGCGCGAGCCCGTATAGACGACATTGCGATTTCGCATTCGCTCAAATTTCACCGGGAGCTCCCACGCGGCGCGACGGCGCCGCCGTGTTCAAGTTACGCGCGCGCGCGCGCGCGATCGATCTTATCGTCGCGCGATCGAGTCCTTACGCAGGTGGGTGAGCAGTCCTGCCGAGAGCGATTAACTTTCGCAAGTTGTGCGAGCCGTAACGCGCATTGTGACGCGCTCGTGTACACCAAAAAAAAAGTAATTTCAGAACCAGCGGAATCATCCAAATTTTAGAGGATTTTATTCTTATACGTGACCTCAAAAGGATTTCTCTAAGATTAAGAGGAAAATATTATAAACGCATTATCTTTAAAGTTAGAAGGATTATATGTTATATGTATAATGCAAATCTTATTGATTTTTATATAAATTTTCTCTTATATACAAATTATTTAAGAGGGGAATTACATGCGGAGCAGGCCATTTTCTAGGCTATTTTTACGATTTTTTTTTTAACAGAAACGATAGAATGGACGGACTTGAAATTTTCGCAATATATTCATTAATGTTCAAAGTATAAAATAAATTTGTTACTATCTATATGGAAAGTACACATAAAATTTTAAACGCGTTTATCTAGAAATCATCTCATTTTTTTAAATTGTCGACACGCAAATTATGCGATTACGCAAAAATTATTGAATCGAATAACTTGAAATTTTTACACAATATACAGTAGACATGTAATTTTCGCCCTTATCTCGAACACAGTTATATTTTACTTTATTCATTTTTTTTAAACATGATTACAAGTTGAAAAAAGTTTCATTTTCGATACTTTTTCTTTGTACAGTCATTATTTTTTCAAACTTGGCTTCATTTTCGTACAAGCTATAATGGCGACCGTATATTTTAAAATTCTTTATCATTTTTTAGTTTCAGAGTAGTAAGTAAGAGTAGTAAGAGGCCCGGAATTATGTCGACAGCAAACATACAACTCGCAAACGTATGATTGCATTTTTATCTATAATTACAAATTGGATCGGTTCTTGTGTGTGATTCAATAAAATTTATTTTATATTGGGGACTTGAATAAGTTCTCGCTGTTTTTTTCGTGAAAATGAATGCTTTATTTAAAAAAAATTAGTTAAGAACATGCCATTGAAAGTATTGTCCATTGCTAGCCACTACTTTCTCTTATCTTTCTGGCAGCATACGAATACCATGTCAAAAGAACGACTCATCTTTTGAGATTATCCACGAATCGACTCATTTTTGACATCTTCATAAGTCATAATGGAAGTGCTGCTCAGCTAGGCCATGAGTCAGCAATCGGAACAAATGGTAATCGAAAGGAGCATATGTCCGGTGAATACGGCGGATAGGATAGGACTTTGAGCGTAGGTTTTGACCGATTTTGCAACATGTGACCGAGCATTGTCATGCTGCAAAATTACTTTATCGTGTCTCTCCTCGTATTGCAGTCGTTTTTCCTTCAATGCTCGGCTCAGACGCATCAATTGTACTCGATAGCGATCTCCCGTGATGGTTTCGTTGGGTTTGAGGAGCTCATAATATATTACACCCAGCTGATCCCACCAAATACAGAGCATGAGCTTGGAACCATGAATATTCGGCTTTGCCGTCGATGTTGATTCATGGCTGGGCTTACTTCACGATTTTCTACGCTTCGGGTTATCGTAGTGTATCCACTTTTCGCCAGTCACGATACGATGCAAAAATCCTTTCCTTTTCTGCCGTTGGAGCAGCTGTTCCACGTGAAAAAACGTCGTTCGACGTCTCTCGGCTTCAATTCGTACGGCACCCAATTCCCTTGCTTTTGAATCATTCCTAATGCTTTTAAACGTTTAGTAACTGTTGTGTGATTAACTCCTAATGATTCTGCAAGTTCATTTTGCGTCTGACATGGGTTTTCATCGAGTAATGCTTGCAATTCTTCGTCTTCAAACTTTTTCGGTGCGCCAGAGCGTTCTATATCTTCAACATCAAAATCAACATAAAAAATTATTTTTAAAGCGTCTAAACCAATCTCTGCATGTTGTTTCCGACAGAGCATGGTCGCCGTAAGTCTCCACAAGAATTCTTTGTGCTTCAGTTGCAGACTTTTTTTTAAAAAGTAATGCAGTAAAATTCCCCGCAAATATTCTTCTTTTGGCACGAAATTCGACATGTTTAACGCTATGAAAAAATATGTTGTTTACGCTTCGGCGGAATAACATATACTGTCACTCCGAGCCTAATGGTGGAGCTTCACGATGAAGTTGGCTGTAGTATTGCCCGATATAAAAAGGCTAAGATAACACCATCTGTCGGGAAACAGCGAGAACTGATTCAAGTCCCCAATACTTTAAACATTAATGAATACATTGTGAAAATTTCAAATCCATTGATTTTATCGTTTTTGTTAGTAAAAATTCGTAAAAATAGCCTTAAAAAACGGCCTTCTGCGTGTAATTCCCACTTAATCTTTTTTTAAGAGGATTATTACTTATCCTTACTGTACTTTTTTCTTACTGGTTATACTAGTTAATGTATAGCGAAAAATAATATATATATATATATACAGGGTGCACAATTTATCTGAAGACATTGAAATATCTCGAGAACTATGCATTGGATAAAAAAAAGTGGTTAATGAAAGTTGTTAGTCTCGAAGGGGGACATCCAATGATACCAAACTTGACCTCCTACCCTACCCTCTAGGGGTGGGGGTTGGGGGCAACTTTGAAATCTGGAAACCTCCATTTTTTATTGCAGATACGGATTCTACGCCACAAAATACGTAAATTTTGTCCGAAACTTTTTTTTTATTCGTGATAGATGGCGCTGTAATCGCAAAAAATTATATTTTCCGCAATTCTCTAGAAATGATCATTGGATTGAGAAATAAAAAATACCTGTTCAATATTTTTAAAGAACATAATAAAAGTTATTCCCCCCCTCCATCCTCTCGGGGTAGGGTGGGTGATAACGTTCAAATCTCAAATGGGGACCCACATTTTTCATTGCAGAATTAGATTGTACGTGAAATTTTTATCGAAACAATTTTTTTCATTCGTGATAGATAGCGTTGAATTTTTCCGAGAAACTACTTTTAGCGTTACACAGGAACAACGACGAGGACGTAATAGTTTTATGTTCCCTTCGGGTGCTTTTTTAATGTGAGTCCCCTTGCCTCTCACTGTTCAATTAATTAGAGTAAGTGTTCGAAATTTTTACCTTCAACTTCAATACACTTATTGATCCTTTTTTCAAATGACTGTACACAGGATAGAAGCATATCTGCGGGAGGTTTCAGCGCAAGCGTTTCTTATGCGTTCTACCATGTTTTCACGAGTTGTTGGCACTTGTTGATAAACCTTATCTTTTAGGTTAGGTTGATAAACCTTATCTTTTTAATAACTTTTATTATGTTCTTTAAAAATATTGAACAGGTATTTTTTATTTCTCAATCCAATGATCATTTCTGGAGAATTGCGGAAAATATAATTTTTTGCGATTACAGCGCCATCTATCACGAATAAAAAATAAAGTTTCGGACAAAATTTACGTATTTTGTGGCGTAGAACCCGTATCTGCAATAAAAAATGGGGGTTTCCAGATTTCAAAGTTGCCCCCAACCCCCACCCCCAGGGGGTGGGGTGGGAGGTCGAGTTTGGTATCATTGGATGTCCCCCTTCGAGGCTAACAACTTTCATTAACCACTTTTTTTATCCAATGCATAGTTCTCGAGATATTTCAATGTCTTCAGATAAATCGTGCACCCTGTATATATATATATATATAGATGTACTTCTGTCTCCAGTTCTACAATAAGTAGGCACGAATGGAATAAGATCATCATAACAAATAAATCTCCAATCAATTTTGTTATGGACTTTAAAGCTACAAAGATGTTCATCATAACCAATTGTATGAAACATAATAAAAAAAAAGAATATATTATTCAACTTCTTGCAATAGATTAGAAACCGTATTTGACCAAATACGGATAAATTATCTTCGTTATATGTTACGGCAACACACATACCTTTTTTAAAAGGCGTTCCAAATATTCTAAACATTTTATGAACATTTGATTATTTCTTCGTTCATGTCTGGAGGTAGAGTATGACCGAACAAAAGAAGCCGACATTCAAATCAACATATTCCTCTTCATATGAAAGGAAAATTAATTGATATAAGAGGAAATTCTCTTGTAATAAAAAAAACAATTAAAATAATATCTAATAAATCTTAGATGAACGGTTCACTTTAATCGCTTCATCGAAAGATGAATCCTTTCTCTGTAAAAGGCTTCGTTTAAAATAAAAGATTATGGGAAAAATCACTTTACAAATAGAATACTTCTTTTTGGGTACATTTATCCACGTTTTTTCGTATCATTCGCGACCGGGCCGTACGCCGAACGTGCCCATCGATGAAACCTGCGTGGACTCGAACGTCCGAAGCTCCGAAGTGTCTACTTCGCTCGAAGTAGGATCGCTGAATTACTTTCTCTCTCGGTTCCTTTTCCTTTATTATTATGATCGCTTTGTACTTTCTTTGTGTTGCGCGTCGACGTAAGGATATCTGGGCGGAACGTGTGTTCTCCATTTAGGCGAGAGGAGTCTGCCGATTTGCGGTTAAGGGAAAGTCACGGTAGTACTTGGGGTCATTCGACTCACACGCGCCTACTTTACGTGTACATCTTGCAGTACATTGACAGCTGATAGTAAGTTGAGATAGCGAATCTTCCCAAAGATGTTGCCTCACTTGATTGGGAACGTCACGGTCTCGGTGGGAACCGATCTGAGGCCGAATATATCCGAAGAAGCCGCGGGAGCCGAGAGCGAGAGAGAAAAATCCCCAAGTACCGTAACTTTCCTTTTACCGTTAATTAAAGCTTCCTCTTATAAAGCACTTCGTATTCTCATGTCGACGGCATCGCGTGCTTCTCTCCTTGCCGTGTGCTGCCACCAAAATTGTTGACCAAACCATTGTTGACACAGCCGTGTCAACAATGGTTTGGTCAACATGAAAATCTGATCTAAACTCGGTGCTAACTTTGCTCTTCACCTTGCGTTAAAAAAAAAAAGGAAAGGAATTTATCGTCGAGTAAATAAAATTCGGCGAAACTACCTCGCGATCGAGCGTAAACCGCGAACTTCTCTTCCGACTGCTCGTGTCGTGAAAACGACCCGCCCGGCAAAAATAAACCCGAGGAAGAGCCGACCGCTTCTTCGTGGCGCGGCAATTAAGAGCTTTGTAAGAGAAACCCTCGCCAGTCACGCTCGTTTGAACGCGAAATTATGAGGAACAACGTCCTTCTCCCTCGCAAAATGGCAGACCTTCGCGAGAGAGGCGAAAGGTAGGATCGATGCGCGCGAGTTTATTGGCTTATGTCCTCGCGGACATAATACCGCGTCGCGCTAGAGTCTCCGTTCCGTCCGGTGAGGAGAACGTCGGTTACGAGAGAGTGCAAAGGGGAAATGTCAAAACCGCTACGCCGTGTCGTCGGCATTTGAGCAACTTCTCCGCAGAAATTTCGCGTATACGTTACAAGGATAGCTCTCTCTCTCTCTCTCTCTCTCTCTCTCTCTCTCTCTCTCTCTCTCTCTCTCTCTCTCTCTCTCTCTCTCTCTCTCTCTCTCTCTCTCTCTCTCTCTCTCTCTCTCTCGCCGAAGGAGCCTCCCACTCTCGTCGTCACTTCGTCGCTACTATAATGCAAAATAATTATTGCGATCAGCGTATCAGCGAGGCTCTTCGGCGACCTCTTCGGGCGTAGACGGCCGCGTTGTAAAAAATGTTACACCGTGCGGTAGGACGAATTGCGATATTGCTATAATTATAACACGGGTCCTAAGCGAGTCGTGCCGGTTGACGAAAGACGACTTGCAATAATAGGGTGGTGACGAAAGGGACATTAAGAAAGAATGGCCGCTTACAACGCGCACTTTCCCATTCGTGTCCTGGTGCAGCAGAATGGAAGCCATGTTCTCCGTGTCTTGATAGATGTCACCGATATCCACGTCAACCTGCAAATAAGAGGTATGATTGCGTCCCCACACAGGCAGAAAATGATTGGTTCACCCGCGGAGGCGCGCGGGAAACTTTCGTCACTTGAACGACTCGAACACGGACATTCGGCGCGAGCCGCGCGCGAGCAGAGAACTCCGACAATAAAAAATAATATAATTAGAAAAGGCTTTGCTGATATATCCAATTAACCCTTTGAGGCATAGTGGTAAGTATACTTACCACCTATTTATTCTTACATTTTCATGAAATATTTCATATTTGACGGATTCTTGTTGGGTTTTTTATGTTTTTTACCTTCTTATATGATATGGGGGGAACATATATGAAAGGTTGAGAAGTGTTTTGCATAAGTTGTCCATTTATTATAAATAAACAAAGTGTGAAAAGTACATATTTTTACAGAAAAAAATCATTTTCCACAAACTATGAGTGAATTGTTTGCTCAAAATCAAGATTTGGGTTTTTTTGGCTCGCTTTGACTCGATTACGAATCTGAGATCCAAATTTCAAAATTAATTTTCCAAGATAGCGGATTCAAAATAGCGGATTATAGAACTTTTATTAAATTAGCTAAAATTGTACTCTGGTTAATTTTTGAGGTCGCTGATTACGAATCTGAGGTCCACATTCTAAAATTCATTTTCCAAGATGGCGGATTCCAGATGGCGGATCATAGAATGTACATAAAATTAGCTAAAATTGTACTCTGGTTAGTTCTTGAGCTCGTTGATTACGAATCTGAGGTCTAAATTCTAAAATTTGTTTTCCAAGATGGCGGGTCATAAAATTTTTATATGATTAGCTGAAATTGTATTTTGGTTAGCTTTCAAGATCGCTGATTACGAATCCGAGGTCTAAAACTCATTGTTCAAGATTGCAGATTCAAGTTGGCGGATCATGGAATTCTAATACATATATTTATCTGACATTGTCTTCTGGATAGTTTTTCAAGTTTTCGACTACAAATCTAAGGTGAAAAATGACGACTTTGAAATGGAAATTGTGAATGTCGATTTTCAAAATCGCGAATCATAGAATCCCTATATGATTGGCTGATATTGTACTCTAATCACTTGTTCTCTATTGTTTTGTTTACTGATCGTGAATCCAAGGTCGAAATCTAAAAATAAACTTCCAAACTTGTGGATCGAATTATTATAATGAAATGAGCTAAGATCCTGCATTGATTGATCTCCCGTAGATTCGTATTCAACGACCTCAAATATCCCTATGCCATGATTCTTTTTGGCTTGACCAAGACCTCACGAATTTTGTTCAGTATCTTCAATCTTCCAAATATCTTCAAGATTGTCGAAGTTTTCTCTTTTCTGACCACCATCTTGAATTTGCCATTTTGAATTTCGAAAATCTGATAACGGATTCGTCATCAGCGATCCCAGAAACCCCCGTATATAAATTTTCATGTGATTCAGATTTTCTGAAAAATATGTGCCTCAAAGGGTTAAATGAAGAGCTCAAGGAGCTTTTTAAGAGTTCGAATACGAGTCTTGTAATGCATAGCGAAATCGGTCGAGAAAAGAAAACTGATATTTCGTCTCTTATAAAATTTATTTTTATTATGTTACCGAAGAATAAAAATATTGAAGTTGTACTGAAGAAGTTCGCTTTATTTATATTATTAAGGGAGTTTACTTTATTTGTATTCGCTAAAACATTTCGATTCTAATCAGAGTTCAAGGCGAAGGCGACAAGGATATTAATAATCACAAATTGACATCCCACATTCACAAATCGATGATGTTTCGGACTGTTTGATTTGATAACGACAAAATCTTTCACTGATATCGATATATTGATGATAAATCTACGTAACGTGTCGTTGATATCTCGTCAATTTCTAGATATCGATTTAATCATATCGATCATATTCAAATCCAGTCAATATATAAATATATCGAGTCGACTTGAATAATACAAACTGAATACCAACTAGATCGTCGACATTTACATTAATGATATCTCCTAGATATCGCGATGAAACTTTGAAAATATCATCGGTCGTTGATTCTACATGATTCCACTTCGATTTCGAGCGGATTCTTCATCGACTTGTAAACCTGGGATGACATGAAATATCGAATATCGATTGTCAATATCGAATATGCTAAAAGAATGCTAAAAAGCAATTCAACGTGTAGAAGACACAGCGCCGATGACACGCAAATTTCCGACGAAAAACTGTTGAACAAATGCAATTACTTGAAGATAAATTGATATGCATTACATCCGCATCCGCATCATCCATGTTGACTTTTTATGCCGGTAATATATCCCGCAAACGCTGCTCACACATTAACTCCAGTAAATGCTTTTCACTTCCGATATTCCGGCTTGGACATATTTATATATCATGACTGTTGATTTAAAGGAACATCGGCAATTCAGTCGCATGGAATAAGTGCAACAGTGTATATAATAGTACTTTCTAAAGTAGAAGTAATGTATTCTTTATTAAAAAATCTTATACAGAGTGTATAAAAAGTACCGTGAAATACCTCGAAAACCAAGAATTTAAAAAAAAAATGTTTCAGACAAAGGTTGTATGGTTTCAAGAGAAACATAAAACAATTATATCATTTTATTTACAGATGGCGCCATTTTCGAGATATTTACTGATTATTATTTTTCTTAAATGGAAACCCCAATTTTTTATTATATTATCTTTTTCTCAATTCAATTAATTTGAACAACTTTTGTCTAAAACATTTTTTTATGTGCCTAATATTTTTTTAAATATTTAAGGAAAACGAGAACTTTTTTAATATTTAACTTACGATATCTCGCTAACTATTTGTCGGAAGAAAAAACAGTACTAAACTTTTTTACTCTATTTGGTCTCAAGAATATTGACCTTTAGGAATTTCAAAATCATCAAATTAACAAAAGTTAGGGCGTTATTGTAACAATATATTCTTCGGCCCAAATAGAATAAGAAAGTCTAATACCATTTTTTCTTCCGACAAATAGATATCGTAAGTTAAATATTGAAAAAGTTTCCAAGTTTTCCTTAAATATCTAAATAAATATTAGGCAAATAAAAAAATATTTCAGACAAAAGTCGTTAAAATTAATTGGTTGAAAAAGATGAAATAATAAAGAATTCGAATTTTCATCTGAGAAAAATAACGATCAGTGAATATCTCGAAAGTAGCGCCATCTATAAACAAAATGGTATAGTTGTTTTATGTCCCACTTGAAACCATAAATGAAACTTTTATCTGAAACATTTTTTTTTTAAATGCTTAGTTTTCTAGATATTTCGTCGTCCCGGTACTTTTATATACCTTGTATAATTGGTAGCTCGGTTACAAGTATCGTATTGCAATCAGTGAAATCTTGCTGAAAGGATAATATTAATAGCTGTTCTTATTATTTATACGGTTTGCAAACATAATGTCACCGCACGCGAGGCGCGTGAAAGTCAATTCCGTCGTCATCTGAGTTGATTGGTCGACAAAGAATCCGATCGAAATCATATCGAAATCAAGAAATCACGTAAAAATCAACAATCGATTTGATAGTTCTAAGATTTCATCGCGATATCTGGAAGATATTGTGTAGATCTCGACGTTATTCAGCTTATATCGGGCTCGTATTGATATATCACTAGATATTGACTCAGCTTAAATACAATACGATTAGATACCAACTAGATCGTCAATAATTGGCCAACGCCTGTATAATATTTTCTAGATATCAAATTAATGTATAGATATCGACTATACATGATGCATTCACGAAATGTTGTGCAAATTTATCATCAATGCTGCAACGATATCAATAAGGAATTTAGTCTCGATTAAATCGGACGGTTCGACAAGTCATCATCGATATCGAGTCGATCATCGACTTGTGAAATCGGACATTGACGCAGAAAGTTTGTGGATTTCGCATCATGCGTTTGTATACCACAGATTTATGTACCGCAATGACACTTTACTTTCATTCAAAATCAAAATCGATGAGATATAGGACGAGGAACAGTAAAGTGAGAATGTTTCCATTGAAAATCATCGAATAGTCACTGATTCAATGAGAGAGAAATACTTCTTTTATTGAGTCCATCAGAAACATTTTGGCTGATTCACTCTAACGTTAGAATTACCACGCAAGCGGTCAATAATAAAAATTGCTCGTAAGGATTACTCCAATTTATGTAAATATGCGTTTTATATTTTTTATGGACGTTGAATAAAGCTAAAAGAGAAATAAATGGACATTTTCATGGCATGTACTTTATCGAAAATCTGCCATTTCGATCGCTCTAGTAGAACACGATATATTATATTGGTCATCGTTAATTCAACGTGGCTACGATTAAACGTTTGTTTAAACAAAGCAAACATGAGTACTCACCGTATATATTACCGTTGGAATCAACGTGGCTAGAATTACTGATTCTTTTCGAAAAACTAACAGTCATGATATATTAGGAGTATGATTTAGTTTTGAAGGTTTTGCAAGAAATGATACTAATGTCAGTTTTGTCAAAGATTGACATTCCAATCATAACTATTGTTTCTTAATGCTTTAATATTAATCTATGATATTTAATCATTTACTAATAATAGATGCAGTAAAACAGCTGAAGGTCATAGAATTCTGATAGAGACTTATGATGATGTTACTTCATTAATTAACCCTTTGAGTCATGCAATTAAATGAGCAGTCGAATTCTCACAAATCACAATCTCACAAAAATCATGATTCTATACGTTTTTAGGGTCGCTGAGTTTGAATCAGAATTTCGAAAAAATGCGATCCCAGATGGAAGACGCAATATAGCGGCTTGAAAGGATATTTAGTTGACGAATCCGCACAAAAATTATTCACTGAGAAAATTTAATTCCTAGGTCAATTCTAGTAGCAAATTAGTGTTTAACACATCCAAATTTATATAGAAACATGCGTCGCTTCCTTTGCAAAGAAAAATCATAATTTGTCGGAATAATAATAAATAAATTATTTATAGCAATATATTCGACAAATTTTCGAACTATCTACACATATGTAACGAATTTAAGACTATGAATATAAAAAGAGAAACGTTGAAGATTATCGAATTCCAACGCTATTCCACAATTTTTATGTTTTTCTTCAATATTTTATTTATATCATGAAAAATACTAATATAATAAAAATTTATCAACGGATTCGTAATCAGCGACTTCAAAATGATAAATATAACATAGAAAACTGCTTCTTTGTAAAAAAACAATATTTAGAATATCAACTTTTCAGAGCAATTCTATCAATTTTCGAAATTCAGCTTCAATATTTTGTTTATAACAAAAAAGATTTTATTTTACCCAAATCTGATAGCGGATTAGTAATCAGCGACTTCAAAAACATAAATTTAGGTGAAGAAACAGTATGTTTATGGGAGATTTTTTTCAGAAACGAATTTATTCTTAAAAAAAATGCTTTTTCTGTCTTAATTTGTTTATAACAAAGAAAATACAAACAATATTGGTGAAATCAATGAACATTTATCGTAATTAAGTATTCAAATAGTGGATAAGCAAAAAAGAATCGTTAAAATTGATAAATTCTATGAAATATAATCGAAAAATGAAGAAAATATAAGCGGAACACATGTGACGCAAAGGGTTAAGACACGCGTGAATATTGATTTAGACAATTCAAAAGTAGTGATTTCAATGTGAACTCCACTTCAGAATCTGCCACAGCATTAAATGTTGATCGTACAACAATTACTAAACGTTTACATGATATGAGAAAGATTCAGAAAGAAGGAAAAGGGCTCCACATCAATTATCGGAAAATGCCATTGCGAACCGATTGAACGTTTGCATTTCGTTAATTGCCAGACAAAAATGAAGAGTTCTTTCTATCGAATTGTTACTGGGGATGAAAATTGGATCTATTTCGATAAACCCAAACGAAAAAAATCATGGATTGATCCAGGCCAACCAGCAACATCTATTTCGAGGCGCTACGTACTTGATGGGGTCAAGAAGATATTGCATACTATGAACTGTTAAATCCGAATAAAACTGTCACCACTGATCGTTATCGACAATTACACAAATTGAAGCAAGCATTGGACCAAAAACGATCACCAATTGCGAGTAAACGATGCAAAGTGATCCTTCTTCACGATAATGCTCCATCTCATGTTGCATTATCAGTGAAGCAAACGCTATTGGAGCTGGCAAGTCTTATCGCACCCGTGTATTCTCCAGACATTGCTTCATCCGATTATCACTTGGTCGATGCAACATGCTTTAGAACAGAGCTCGGCAAAATGTGCACGCGACGGCCGATTTTCGACTATCTCCGCCCACCGCTATTCCCTTTACCTCGCCGCTCCGCGCGCTGCCTACAAGCCGCTCGAGCCTCAGGAGCATGTTTCTAATAGTTTTCACGTCACCCATGAGGTACTATTGTTGACGCGTTTTTTTTTTTAAGTGGTATCCCCAGTAGGCCTCTTCATTTTTCAAAAATGAAGTTTATAAAAAATGAGAAGTGTTCTTTAAGCGACGATTCCTTACCACGTCTTATGCGGCTCGCTAAATGCAATATCCAAATTGACGTTTCCACTCTTACCAATAAAAGCCGAAAATCGAATTGAATATTCTTCATTTAACATATTTTATTTCGCTTCTGTTCAATTAGTTAGGGGTTGTTACAGTCATCAGTGGATTAGGCTTACTGGGGATACCACTTAAAAAAAAACGCGTTAACAATAGTACTTCATGGGTGACGTGGAAAACTATTGGAAACACTTGAGACTTGGAATACTCTTGAGACTCGAGCGGCTTGTAGGCAGCGCGCGGAGCGGCGAGGTAAAGGGAATAGCGGTGGGCGGAGATAGTCGAAAATTGGTCGCCGCGTGCACATTTTGCCGAGCTCTGCTCTAGAAGATACACACTTTCGTAACTTCGAACAAGTGCGAAAGTTTGTTGAAAATTGGATCAACTCCAAAAAAGAATCTTTTGATCGTCGCGGAATCCATCTCTTGCCAGAAAGATGGGAAAAGGTCGTAGAAAACGAGGGAAAATATTCTGATTAAAGTATTCGTTCATCTATCTTGTTTAAGTAAATCAGTTTTTCAAAAAAAGCCTTCAAAAATAAGTCAACTGCTAATAAGAAGATCAATAGATCCGATACGTCTAACCCGAAATATTTTATATATCTTATCTTATTTTATATCTTAAGCGGAAGTGAAAATTATTATTAGATTTCTCTGTACATGATATAATCGGTAATCATTGCATCATTGGTGAGAAAAATCCAGTCTCGAGAAAACTTTGAGAGACCACTAGCTTGTACCACTAGGTACAAGTAACAATGCCTCTCTCTGTAGTCGCCGTGCCCTCGGGATAGCACTAGAGATGTCGCTTTCGAACGACATCTCTCAACATTATCTACGGAGAGGAGAGCGTCATGAGTGTGGAGCGTCAGGTGGCTCAGTGGTTTAGAACAGTCGCCCGGCAACCGAAAAGATATCCCGGGTTCGATTCCCCCGGTCTTTAGCGATTACCGCGCTCTCGATATTTTTCTCTCTTCGAAACGAAAATAAGATGCAGGTCCCGAACGCACGGCGTCCGTCGCCACCTAGTACGCCCTCCTTATTTCTTCGTGGTATATGCTGCAAATTCAAAAGAGAAGAAACATCACTTACATCCTTCACCCTCTCGTAATGAAGACCGTCAGGCTGCGACGTGTTCCTGGTGACGGTCCACATTGGCAGGCTGTTAGCTGTCAACAGACCTTCTGTCGGCTTCAACGAAAGACTGATATCCTTGCCGAAAGCCTTCAGGTGAATCTGCTGCTTCGCGTCTATGCTCCTCTTGTGCATCGTGTGCAACACAGGCACGACTTCGTACGGCGGCACTACAGTTTCGGGGTGAAAACGTGTTTTTTAACCAAGCAACTAAACGAGCCGGAGCCAGCGCTGTTGTCCGAACGAGAATTAATATACAGGGTGAGTCACTTAAGACTCCGGCCACCCGAATAATACTCACAATTTTGGAGATAGGAGAAAATGCTTGAGATGAAAATTGTTTGATATCGAGGAGGATATAAGACAGTAATAGCATTTTGTTTACAAATGGCGCTACTTTCGAGATATTCACTGATCACTGATCACTTTCCTTAAATGGAAATCCCAATTTTTTATAATATTCTGACCTTTGTTGATTTGATAATTTTGAAATTTCCAAAGTCGATAAGTTAACAAAAAGTAGGGCACTATTATAATAATATATTCTTGAAACCAAATTGAGTAAAAAAGTCTAGTATTACTTTCTCTTCCGACAAATAGTTAGCGAGATATCGTAAATTAAATATTGAAAAAGTTACCAAGTTTTCCTTAAATAGCCCAAAAAAATATTAGGCAAATAAAAAAATGTTTTAGACGAAAGTTGTTCAAATTAATTGGTAGAAAAAGATGATATAATAAAAAATTTGGGTTTCCATTTAAGGAAAGTAATGATCATTGGATATTTAAAAAATGGTGTCATCTGTAAATAAAATAATATAGTTGTTTTATATCCTCCTTGAAACCATACAACTTTTGTCCGAAACTTTTTTGTTTAAATACTTGAATTTTTTAGAATAGTATTTTATTATTTTAGAATTGATAATCTGTTTTGGTCAATTTCTCACGTCTGGTAATACAGCTGGCTACGAGAAAAAAGAAAAAAATAAAAAACTGCGCTTACGAGAGATCGACGGCGGATAACGGCGACCCTTTCTAAGGTTCGTCGGAACGATACAAGAATGATGATGACATTGATGAATATTCATCGTGTATGATTCACGACGGCGGATTTGAGTTTAACGGTCCGTTCACGAGCCTCCGCGTTTCTTCTCACGGACGCGTTAACTGGAAGTCCGAAAACACGCAAACCCAGCGGCAGAAAGTTCGGCGGAGAACAATGGAAGAGAGATAAAACCGTAATAATGCACACATACACACGCGTATGTATGAATCTCCCTTTGAATAAGCACCGAACGAGTCGCGTAACTAACGAAAGACGTTCCGCCTTCGAGCTCCTCCGAGAGAAAAAGATGGTTAATCTTATCGAGATTATAGCGATTTTCGGCGTCAGCCATATTTTAAGTAGTAGCGGCGATATGAATATAATCACATTATCATCTCTAACGATACTGAGCAGGATTGAGAAAGCTATTTTTGAGCAACTCGTTAGAAAGGAAAATAATTCGTTGCCATTACTCAAGATGCAACGAGTCGTGGCGATTTCCGTTACTTTTGCACCAGATTTGCGGCAACACTTGTTTTAATTCGTTGTTTTAGTTGTTTTAATGATGCACATATATTCTATGACCGATATTCTTAACTCCCTTTTATTGATAAAAGGAAGCTTAGAATATGCCGCTCTGGGTGTGAAAAATAACGATGAAAGTAAGATTGTATTTATTACCGTGCAGAGATATAATTTATAATTACTGTTATTAATGCATAAAAAATAAGTAACACGCACACGCGTAATACATGTGTAATAAATAATAAACAATCATTGGTAAGCCGTTACTTCTAACAGTAATTCATCACGTCAGGAACTACAAAAGTCAACTGAATCAAAAGTGAAAATAAAAGAAATTAATGAGTTATATAGAGTGTTCGGAAAATAGATAGCAAAACTTCAAGATCATTTTCTACTCAATGTAAGGATGAAAGAAGATCATATAAACGTGGATCCGTGGATCACTTTCTTCGCAAATTATAAACACTTTATATTTTTATAACAGAGAACATGTTTCACACCGACGTGTCTCGTTACGCGCATTATCCTTTATTCTCACTTTTTAATAGAAAAAAAAAAAAGCAGAAATGAGTCTGTTTAGAACTGGAATCATCTTTATTCAAGCGTTTAAGAACTAAGATAACGCCAAGATAGTAGTCTGCTGTCAATAAAAAGTGTTTATAACTTGGAAGAGAAGCGTTTCTAGACCCATGTTTATAGCCTTTCTCATTCTTATAATAGAACATGCTTTTAGGGTGCTATTCAGAGACAACGTGCAAAACCGTAATAATCTTACTTTAGTTTTCGCTTAGTCCTTCATAGTCTAGCCTATCCATGGACTAACGATGAATTAAGGCAATGTTATTGAGACATTTTTCCGAAATGATTTTTAAATTTGCTATCCGAACTGAGAAAATTAAATTCCTCTTATATTTCTTACATTTAATCATCTTAAGTTTATCTTCAGATACTTCATAGTCGATGAAATGTAATCACTAAAAAATTATCAAAGTGCAAATTTTGAGTTTTATATTTTGAGACACTTTTTTAAATTTATAATAGCAAAATTATTCTCAATGGATGTATTAAATAAAATAACGCGAAGTAGGGAGATTAATTGATCCACAGAGGAGAAAAGTTCTCTGACGGATTCGATGTTAAAAAGGAAGCACATTATCGAGTAAAGATGTACGGACACGAACGCGAATAAAGTCAAACAAGAATGTTACAAAGAAAGTTCTAATGATATCAATAGGCATGTCAGGGCATATATAAGGTGTATAAAAAATACTGGTGAAATATCTCGGAAACTAAACATTTTAGAAAAAAATATTTCAGACAAAAGTTATATGGTTTTAAGAAAGACATAAAACAACTATATTATTTTATTTACAGATAGCGCCACTTTCGAGGTATTCACTGACCGTTACTTTTTTTAAGTAGAAATCCAAATTTTTATTACATCGCCTTTTTCTACCAATTAATTTGAACAATTTTTGTCTAAAACATTTTTTCATTCGCCTAATATTTTTTGAGATATTTAAGAAAAACTTGATAACTTTTTCAATATTTAACTTACGATATCTATTTGACGGAAGAAAAAGTGGTACAAGATTTTTTTTATTTTTTATTTGATCCGAAGAATATATTGTTACGGGAGCGCCCTGACTTTTGTTAATTTGATAATTTTGAAATTTCCAAAGGTCGATAAGTTAGGGCACTATTGTATTAGATTGGTGAAAATAATAAGTGCGGTGTCGAGTATAAAGACGCATATATCAATTAAAAATTATATTAATTAATCAAAATAAAGTCCATTGGCCTGCACACATTTTTCCCAACGGAAAACAAGTTTGTTTATTCCTACAAGATCGGATTTTGGAAAAGATAACGATAACTATAAAAATCGGTGCCAAACTTAAAATGATAAAAACCGCAATTATTTTTGCACCAATCTAATAACAATATATTCCTGAGACCAAATAGAGTAAAACCGATCTAATGCTACTTTTCTTTCGACAAATAGTTAGCGAGATATCGTAAGTTAAAGATTAAAAAAATTACAAAGTTTTCCTTAAATACGTACACTGCTCAAAAGAATTATGGCATAGATAATTTATTGTCGAAAATTGGCCAACTTTGACTGGTGATTACTTCGCGAAAAATTATTGTAGATTAATGATTTTTTTTTTAAATAAAGCTTGAAGTCTCTACTTTAAGAATGTATTTCCATTTTTTGCATGCGATATGCCCCTACCCTTGTAACCCCTGACATCTGAGGGCATGTTTGGTATACTGAAAATTACAAAGTTTAACGGAATACACAGACGGAATGCACAGTAATTATTGACTGTGGAAGTGACGAACCGAAGTCCTTATCTCTTCTGTCACGAATACACACACACACACATGCGTGTACACTTGGCCCGAAGGCCAAAAACAACGATATTTTTGGAGGGCTGTAATTTTGCGAAAAACAATTGTAGCGACTCCATTTTTTTTCAAATTGAAGGGGAAGATTTGAACTTTATGACAATGCAAACAGCGTCCCCGAAAAAAAATTGTCCATGTCCGTGCGTTCCGTCAAACTTTGCAATTTTCAGTATACTAAACATGCCCTCAGATGTCAGGATTTACAGGAGTAGAGGTGCATCGCATGCAAGAAAATGGAGATACATTCTTAAAATAGAGACTTCGAAATTCATTTTGAAAAAATAATCATTAGTTTACAATAATTTTTCGCGAAGTAATCGCCAGTCAAAGTTGGCCAATTTTCGGCAATAAATTATCTATGCCATAATTCTTTTGAGCAGTATATCTAAAAAAATATTAAGTAAATAAAAAAATATTTCAGACAAAAGTTGTCCAAATTAATTGAAAAAGATTACTGAAATTAATTGAAATTAAATTGATTGAAAAATTGATAGAAAAAGATATAATAAAAAATGAAAGATTTCCGTTTAACAAAAGTGATTACGAGTGAAAGCGGCGTTATCTGTAAACAAAATGATATAGTTTTGTTTTATGTCCCCCTTGAAACCATACAACTTTTGTCTGCAACACTTTGTTCTAAAATGCTCAGTTTTGGAGATATTTCGCCGTCCCAGTACTTTTTATACTCTGTATATATAGCCTATAGCGGTTAAAAAATTAAACCAACTTTAAACTATCCCTACAAATAGTTTAAATTGAAGCTAGGTTTGATACAAGACTAAATCATAAAAAGATGTCCCTGAACCCAAATGTCCAAATTAGTCTCTTCTTACATTCTTGTTAAACTACTACTAAACGAAGCTCATTTTGTTCCTGAATAACACTCTATAAGTTTGATCACCTATTTCTAAAACACCCTATGTTACACACAGTGTTACTTTCCAAGTCTGCACTTGTAGTACAACGGTTGCTAAGAAAGCGGCGGGGCAAATCTTTCACTACGCGACTCCAGTTACGAGCGACAGACATTTTCTTCTCAGGATCAGTATGACTTCGCGCAAGTCCGCGAACTATCATTTGCGTTAGATTAGCCAATTGGAGCAAGGCGGTCGACTATCCTCGGTGCAAGGATCTCTCATCGCCCTGCTCGTCCCGTTCAGATCATCGCCGTCGGTCGAGGTGAGCCGGCGTCCTCGTAATTTTCTCCACGTCGCGCGTGTCCGCCGGCGTGTCGGAAGGAACAGGACGCGAAAGAAAAACGGAACGGAAAAGACAAGAGCGCGCGTACGCTCACCGCGTGTTACTTTTTTGCTGTTATTACCGGACTCGTGTCCTGTGTAAAACACCGATAGCATCTCTTCCCTTGTCATGTGCTCGTGGATCTGAAACACGAATGGAGTTTAAGTGAGCATAGTCCGGTTGTCGCAATATCCTTACGTAATCGGGATCGTGATCGCGATTGTAATCGTCGTAATCTTGCGTCGCGTTAAATGTCTCGCGAATTAATCCGTGCGATATGCGGCGATATGCGAGCAGCGCGGAGTAATGAAGAAGTACATTGCAGAGAGACGAGAAGAAAAGCAAATCCGGTCGAACGTCGCAGCGCTCGTCCTCCTGCGGGCTACGAGCGAGTGCGCCTTATCCTGCCTCGCGAGGCACAATGGAGCGCGAAAGAACTTCATTAGTTCGCTTCGCGGAAACATCGTTATCACGTCGCGCGGGATTTCGCAAGCAGAATTGAGCGCAGCCTACTCGCCGTGCATTACTCGCTACGTATTAATTACTCAAACGAGGAAGTGAGGGGCGAGCGGGACGCGGAGGGGGAAAATATTCGAACGAGACCTTTCGCAGGCGAATCTAAGGCGAATCTTCCGGGATCCGCAATTTCATCATTATGCCCATTATATCATTTCGTACGCCTTCTTTTTTTTCTCCGTCTTTCGCTCGCTGTCTCGACAGCTGAAAGCTGTCGACTTCGGTCTCGCCTCTTACCGGCCGGTGCTTGCGCCGCCTTCGAACGCTATTGTCTCCGTCGTGCCGATACCGTGGGAATAGCGAGGCGAAATGAACGTACAATGAAACGCAATCGAGAATGGTAGCGCCGGCGGCGGCGGTAGACGTCAGGTTTCGTGACGCGAAAAGCATTACGTCACGATACGATAATGCGACTGTACTCGGAATTACTTGCACGTTAATGGCGTAATTAAAATATCGCGTCTCTCTCTCTCTCTCTCTCTCTCTCTCTCTCTTTCTTTCTCTTTCTCGCGACACAGCCTTGATGCGAGAATGACCGATCGAGCGTAACACGCGATGCGTTATTTAATTTATTCATCATGCTTGCCGAACCGGATCAAATCCAGTGGGCGGTTTTCCCGAGAAAAAGGAAAAGTACCGGGATTTAAGAGGGCGAACAATTTCCTGAGAAGTCGCAATACCGAGACAGTCTCGCGAAATACTATTTTATCGGACTATAGGAATTTTTTTACCTTTCAAATTTTCCCTGGAGAAATTTCACTCAAAAAATAGAGCAATCATACGGAGAAAAGTGTTTGGCCGGATGAATTAATTTCGCGGCGAAATATGAACGATTCCGAAATCCCAATTGGAAAAATAATTCTACTTAAATTGACAGAATTTTATTTAAATCGACCAGAAATCTTGATAATTTAGACTGAACTCTACTTAACTTCAACCGGAATTTCTGAATCATTCGTACTTCACTGTAAAGTTATTTCATTCAACCGGTCTGGATTCTCCGTTCTGAATTGTCAAGCGGATATTTTCACTCGAAATTGAAGAGCGAGCTTGATGTGCTCCGCTATTGCAGAAACATATTCACTGTAATCAATTGAAGCGTTCGCTCATATAAAATCATAACTCTACCACTCAGAATCAGAACTCTGTGTTCGAGTGAAACATTCACATTTGCGATTTCGAGCGGCAGCATTTTATCGTTTTATCACTTGAAAATATTGTCATTTTCATATGTTCCGAAATTTCATTCTGAAACACTTAGAGAACGCATTTGGATGCATTAAGGGGAGCATTACATGCGAAACGGACCATTTTCAAGGCTATTTTTACGAATTTTTTTAACAAAAACGGTAGGATCAACAGATTTGAAATTTTCACAGTATATTCATTAATGTCCAAAATATAAAATAAATTTGTTACTATCTGGAAAGTACACACAAAACTTTAAACGCGTTTATCTGAAAACAGCATTTTCCTAAACTGTCGACACGATTACACAAAAACTACTGAACCGAATAACTTGAAGTTTTTACACAATATGCAATAAGAAAAAATTGTATTAAAATTAAACAAATATTTGTTCGAATACGACTGTGAATATATTTATTCAAATTAAGCGACTAATTTCTAAAACGAAATACAGAGGTTCTGAATGTAAACTTTTTTCTTGAATTTTAGAAAATAATTGCTTAATTTAAGTAAATATATTCATAGTCGTACTCGAACAAATATTTGTTCGATGTTGTCTAATTTTAATACAATTTTTTCTCAGTGCACAGTAGACATGTAGTTTTCGCTCTCCTACCTGGAACACAGTTATATTTTATTTTATTCATTTTTTTTAAATATGATTACAAGTTAAAAGAAGTTTCATTTTCGATACTTCTTTTTTTGTATAGTCATTATTTTTCTAAACTTGACTTCACTGCCTTCATTTTGGTATAGGCTATAATATAATATTTTAAAAATCTTTCTCACTTTTTGGTTTCAGAGTAGTGAGAGGCCCGGAATTATGTCGACAGCAAACATAGAGCTCGCAAATGGATGACTGGCATTTTTATCTGTAATTACAAATTGAATCGGTTCTTGTGATTCAATAAAATTTATTTTATACTTTAAACATTAATGAATACACTGTGAAAATTTCAAGTCCATTGATCCTACTGTTTCTGTTAAAAAAATTGGTAAAAATAGCCTTGAAAACAGCCTTTCGCATGTAATTCCCTCCTTAATATCTATTCATTTAAGTAATACGCAAAAATCTATTTAAATATTATGTGATATATCTTTATATATTGTTTTCGGAGTAATAATCCGTCCTCGCAGCAATTGTGCAATTCAGAAGAATTGCATTTCGATTTTCAGTGATACGACTTTTCAGAAAACTGTTCGAGTTTCCGAATTTCGAGATTTTGACTTTTTGGAGCGATGTCGAGACGATGCACCGCAAATTATAAATCGCGGTCAGTGTATAAATTTCCATTATTTTATTCCACGAGACGTTTGCGCGACTTGGCGAGCACCGCCATTAGCATCGGTATGCTTTGTGTCTGAAAGAGAGGAAGAAAGAAGCTGGAGGAAAAGAGACGGTGATTTTTGAAGCGTTCTCGGAATCACGGCTCGTCCAGTTTCGCAGCAGTCCGTAATCAACGGGTATGCACGCGCGTATTCAGTTTTCCAATCGCGTCTCAAGGTCTGTTTCTACCATTTAAACGGCGTTTATCGCGCGGAGACTGAGCCGCGGTTCAAAACGACTCAGGCTGCCCGAGACTGCTAAGGTCGATCACTTTCGCTCATTATGGCGGATCACCCGATCGAGATTTGATCGATTCGCGCCACGGGTGATCGTTCTTCTGACAGAGTCAGAGGAAGAAAGAGGGGAAAAAACGACACGACCGCGCTCGTAACGACGAAATGAATCTCCGTGGCGCGGCAATATTATCAATAAACGCCGGCCGCAGCTGGCTATAAACAAAACGAAGGCTGGATATAAACGTTCCCGATCTAATGACGGTTGCAACGCACGACATTTAATTTCTCTCGCAACAGCCCGGGTAGTCCTCTCGCGCCCCCCGACAATGAATTCCGTAATACTCGTTAGCCGTAACCGCAGGAGTCGCGATCGTTTAAATCGTAACGTATTTCACGCGTCTGTGAGCACAACCGCCGATCGATAGAAATGTGCCGTCCGTCTCTCCTCCGTGAAAAGTAAATTGCTCCCGGACGAGAGTATTCCGGTTTCGCTTTCGATCGTTCTTTCTTTCTTGCTGCCCCTGTCTCGGCCTCGCTTCTCCTCCCTCGCGCGCAACGAGTACGTCTCAAAAGCATGCAAATCATGTGGAACGACTGCCGGAAGTCGCGGCCACGTTTCTCGTCTGAAAGCGATTATTTTTGTACCGTTTCCTAAGGCGGGACTGGGGATTTATGTAAGTCGACGGGCTGTCGACCACTTCACGATGTCTATCCGTGATGATTCAACGATTATCGTGATAGATCGGTGCCTCATACAGTTCGCTCGGATTTCACGCTGCTCGTTTGGGAAGCGCCGATCTTAACATTTTCACCGCCGTGCCTCCGCAGCTTTAACGCTAGAACTACCAGGAGGTCGAGAATAAAAATTTCTTCAACGATGCGTTCGACACCTTTAATGGACGTTGAAAAAGACTCAGACAATTAAATGAACCTTTTTTGTTCTCGCATAATTTTTCCAAAACTCTGCCATTCCGACCAAAATAGATAAAGGTGTGACGTCAATCTCGATAGTTTTTTTAGTGTCAATATGATTTAGTCAAAGATTTACTCTCCCCACTCCTTGTGTGCTTTTTAGATAATTGTGATCAGGTAAATGAGTGAATGAGTGAGTAGATTTATTTATTATCCTGGAACAAAACACCCAAAAAAAAGTATTCTATTTGTAAAATGATTTTTCCCATTGTCTCGTATTCTAAGCGAAGCCTTTTATTCATCTAAAATTTATTAGATATTATTCTAACTATTTTCCTCTCTTATTTCAAGAGGATTTCTTCTTATATCAATTAATTTTCCTCTTACATGAAGAGGAATATGTTGATTTGAATGTCGGTTTCTTTTGTTCAGTCATGCTCTATCTCCAGACATGAATGAGAAAGTAATCATATGCTCATGGATCAGAATATTTGGAACTATTTTTAAAAAAGATATGTATTGCTACAACATATAACGAAGATAATTTACCTATATTTGGTCAAATACAGTTTCTAATCTATTGCAAGAAGTTGAATAATATATTTTTTCTTTTAACTATATTTCACACAATTGGTTATGACGAACATTTTTGCAGCTAAGAAATCTGTAACAAAACTAATTGGAAATTTATTTGTTATAATGATATTATTTCATTCGTGCTTACTTATTGTAGAACTGGAGCCAAAAGTACATCTATATATACAGGGTGTTCCATTTTTAATTTAGGCAAATATCTCAAAAATTTGGAAGATATGGAAAAATATTTCAGACAAAAGTTATATGGTTTTAAGGGGGACATAAAACAACTATATCAGTTTGTTTACAGATAACGCTACTTTCACTGAGATATTCACTGAGCGTTACTTTTCTTAAATAGAAATCCCAATTTTTTATTATCACCTTTTTCTATTAATTAATTTGAACAACTTTTGTTTGAAACATTTTTTTACTTGCCTAATATTTCTTGAAATATTTAAGGAAAACTTGGTAACTTTTTCAATGTTTAACTTACGATATCTCGCTAACTTATTGTTGAAAAAAAAAATGGTACGAAACTCTTTTACCCTATTTAATCTTAAGAATATATTGTTACAATAGCATCCTGATTTTTGTTAATTCGATGATTTTAAAAAGTCGATAAGTTAACAAAAATTAGGTCACTATCGTAACAATATATTCTTGAGACCGAATAGAGTAAAAAAATCTAGTACTATTTTTTCTTCCGACAAATAGTTAGCGAGATATCGTAAGTTAAATATTGAAGAAGTACCAAATTTTCCTTAAATATCTCAAAAAATATTAAGCAAATAAAAAAAAGTTTCAAACAAGAATTATTCAAATCAATTGGTAGAAAAAGATGGTGTAATAAGAAATTGGGATTTCCATTTAAGAAAAGTAATGATCAGTGAATATCTCGAAAATGGCGTCATTTGTAAAAAAATTAATATAGTTGTTTTATGTCCTTCTTGAAACCGTACAACTTTTATCTGAAATATTTTTCCGTATCTTTCATATTTTTCGAGATATTTGCCTGGGAGATTTAAAATGGGACATCCTATATACTACTTTTCGCTATACATTACAATAATTTTTTCAAATTGACTGGTATAACCAGTAAGAATAAAGTACAGTAAAAATAAATAATAATCCTCTTAAAAAAGATTAAATAATCTGTGTATAAAAGGAAATTTATATGAAAATCAATAAGATTTGCATTATATATGTAACACAATCCCTTTAACTTTAAGAATAACGTGTTTATAATATTTTCCTCTTAATCTTAGAGGAATCCTCTTGAGGCCATATATGAGAATAAAATCTTCTAAAATTTGGATGATTTCGTTTGTTCTGAAATTACTTTTTTTTGGGTGAACCTTTACCTCAGGAGATAAATTATAAGATAAGTAGTGTTTTTAATGACATACATGTATACACTTTCAATTTTTTGCGTGAAACTAACTGCATAAAACATACTCAATTTATTTACGTGAAAACGGGGAGAAAAATATCGCATCATAGAGATGCGATGTTACGTAACGAACGTGTGTCAAGTAGAATTGAAAATTTGAAGTAAAGCTGTGAACTTGAAGCGAGAGAGATCGTGTGTGACGCGAACATATTAACGAATCATTAATCTCGCCGGATCATTTCGCTTTCCTAGTCTGCTTTCCTACTCGCTAATTGTTATCTCGCGTGCGTCGCTTATCGTCAGCAAAATTGCTTGTTATATTTACGCTCAAGCTCGCCGGGTAAAAAAGAGAAAAAAAATAAAGACGATAAAAAGAAATCGAAAGCGAGACAACGCGGCCGGACAACAACACCGGGATGGTTCGATGGATTTACTGCAATTTCGTGCGCGAAGTTCTTACGTAAGTTAGAGAAGAGCCGGCCATTGACCACGCGCGTGATAATTATCTACGACGAGATGACGCGTTCAACCGACGCGAGTTGAATCGTAACGTGCCATTACGCGCGCAATCCCTTCTTTCCCTGTGCGCTTTCTTAATTAAGAAGCCGCCATCGACAGGCAGCGATCGTCGGTATTGTTAAATATGTGATTAACGGATCAAGTTGGCGCGATAAATTAACGAAAGAATTACGCTCATGATTATTAGAGATGTGCGAATCAAGAATTTTTGTGTCAAATCGAATCGAATCGAATCTCATTTTTTTAATTCGGATTCGAATCAAATCGAATCTATGAAATTTCACTCGAATTCGAATCGAATCGAATGAAATCGAATCGAACCGTTAAGAAATTTAACATAACTATTAAGCATGCAAATAATGATGGAAGATTTTCATATATAAAAGGGAATATTAATATTGTAATATCATCTTAAAGTAAAATATATATTTAAATATTTAAAGTAATTTATAATTAACTTATTAATTATAAGTTAAGTTAATTATTACAAGTTAAGGGTTCAAACATACAGGCCCAGATGGCCCGTTTTTGTAGCTGATGCACGCAAACGATAATATATATTTGATTCCTATTCGAATTATTCGGATTCGAATCACAGGGATTCGGATTTGAATCGAATCGAATTATAGATCAGATTTGATTCGATTCGAATTCGAATAGTTCGCACATCTCTATATGATTATATCGTCTCGCGTAATTATATCGTCGACTCTGAGATTCACGAAATAACGTTTAGCAGACGACAAGGAGAACCCATCTTAAAATGTACGTACAGAAAGGCAGTTTTTAAAAACGACAGGAAATTAAGCTTGCAGAAGCGGTACCGGCGGGCGAGGTGATAACTGCACAAGTAATTAAAATATAAAGAAAAAACAAGAGACGTCACGTGTAAGCATGCTGCTCGCATACCGTGAATTTACTATGAAGCGGCGCGATTCACAATTAGAGCGGTCCGAAGCCATTCGCCGCTTCGGGATTATCTTTCCCGTATGTGCGCGCGTGCGCGTATTCTTTGTCTTGAAGAAGTAATTGCACGGTGTAATAATGCGTCCTTGGACGATACTTGACTGCGATCTTACCTTGTGGCATCGTACGAGAGGTAGAATGATGGCCATGCAGAGAAGGACAAGGGCGCGAGTCATTTTGCATAAAAATATTCCTGACTGGTTGCGTCACATCGCTGAAACAGAGAATACCGCCGTTTAGCAGGTGAACGAATTGCAAAATTGCTGCGCTGAAAAGGGAAATATCTGTATTGTGAGAAAAAATTGTATCAAAATTAAACAACATCGAACGAATATTTGTTCGAATACGACTGTGAATACATTTACTTAAATTAAGCAATTCTTTTCTAAAATTCAAGAAAAAAGTTTACATTTCAGAACCTCTGTATTTCATTTTAGAGATTAGTCGCTTAATTTGAATAAATGTATTCACAATCGCGTTTGAACAAATATTTGTTTAATTTTAATACGATTTTTTCTCAGTGTATGAACGAAGAAATACTCATTCAGTGAGAGCTAGTAACACATTTGCTTAGGTGTTGTCACGACGTGAATCGTGAATGTATGTGTGTTAGTCCTTTTTGAGGTCAATAGATTTAACTAATTTACCCCGGGACGGACTGGTTTGTGTGAATTATGTTTTAACTCGGAACGAAGAAGGATCTTTAGGATTTAATCTGAGGAGACGAATATTTAAGTATCGAATCTTTAATTTTTAGCTTTTACAGTTGAGAGTCAATAGATCAGAGAGTTAAGAATGTTTTCTCTGTGTGTTTGAGTCGTGAAATGCAAGAATGAATCAATGAATCTCCCTGAATGGTATGGAATGAATCTTTCTGAATGATGGATGTCCACTGGTCTGCGCGTCGCTTTTTATAGGCAGGTGGTGAGATACCCCCGCGCGAGTTCTTACCACCTTATTAGTAGTAGGGGAAGGATGTTTTCCATGATACAAAAGTGATAATCAATAATCGTGGTTATGGTATTTATTATCTACCCATTGTTCTTTTAATCTTCTCCGATGAAGAAGCATTCGGTGTCGTATTTATTACGTCTAGACCGAGGATCAAGTGACCAAAATATCCGGTCTAAACGTTATTGTTGAATTAATTTTATGATTGAATTTAGAAATATTGTTTAAAGTTACGTGGACGTAACAGTGTATAATTTTATACTAAGAAGAGATTTCTTTCAAGTGAGAAAACCTTATCAACACTTTATCATTATTTTGTTATTTTGATTATTTCTGTTATAATATAATGTTGACGTGTTTTCTTAAAACTGTTGCCCTTCACAAACGCAACTGTTTGCTCCATTTTAATTGAAGAATTTAGATTTAAGTGAATATGTTATTATGTTATTGTTAATATGTTGATATGCTATTATGTTATTGACACCTATCGAGTAAATATTTTTTATTCTTGAGATATTTTTCCTTATTGTGTAACGCTTGCGAGTCTATTCGCGTGGGTGGACGTAGAGAAGCGCTTTGCTCATTCGCGTATGTATGACGCGATGAAGAAATTCTGCATGGTTATATAATTTTCGCCATGGTTGGTGTGCGATATGAGAATGAAAAATCGAAACTAACCTTCGTGTTGGATTCACGCATGCTTGGAACAGAAAATCACCGCGGCGAACGGAGAAACGAGAGTGTTGAACGTGTGTTGTACAAGCTGCGCGCGAGTACAACGGGGGCGATCCCGGAAGGAAAGTTAAGTCGCGTCGGATTAACGCCGACGGATTCGCGCCGAAAGCTTCGTATGTAGAGACGTACCGCTTATAGATGCATTTCACGCAATTTCATGACGGATTTACGTCAGTGAGAGGAGAACCGGTGAAAAGTCATTAGCGATCTGAACATATTATCGAACGAAGCCGCGAAATGCGAATAATGGTTGAACGAGTCCATTATAAGTAAAATTAAATATAAGGCTTTTCAGAAATAAATATAAAATTTAAAACAACGCTAATATATAAAACAAAGGCTAGTTTTACGTGTAAAATGGATAATAAAGGTAAACAGTCCATCTAATCAGTGGATTATTATAATAATATCGAGTTGCGTAATAAGTGATTTCAGATTTTTTAGATAAAATAAAATTATTGTATTTTTATATCGTTATAATTTTATGAATCGTATGTTTGTTTTGATTTATGATTTTTATTGTCCTTCGCGTATGTATATTTTATAAAAGGGTAACGACGTAAATAAATAATTGTTTTATTTTCCGTTTAAAAATCCGAAGTTACTTTTTACACAATTTATTATTTACCAACGAAATAAAGAAAATTATTATATTCTTATTCTTGAAAATTTTATTTCCTATGACCGATGCACCCTCTCTGAAAGAATCAAATCAATCCTGCATGGTGAAATTACAGCCGGCAAATTGAAGAGAATGGCTCGCAGTCGGTGAAATCTGCGAGAGTAATAAAAGCAATAGAGTCACGCGCACGGTAGCAAAAGAGAGAAGAAAAAGTGTGTCTCATTGTTTCAATAAAATATATATTTATTAATTTAGCTATATGCTAAAAAAGAAAACTTGGATCGTTCCTTAATAGTTCCTTGACCACAGCTTTATCCCATACCACATCCTTATCCATTCATATCTTATTCTATCCTTTATATCTATTTATATCTCAATATCACGGCAGTTACAATCTACATATTTCCTTCCAAAATTTTTACAGTTAAAATTTTTATAGTCTTCTATTTATTATCTATTTTATCACAATAATTTTCCTATCGTTCCGTTCACTCTTACGTTATCTTTTTTACTCTCACTATGAATTCTTTATGCTTAAGCTTTTTGCTTATGCTTTTTGCTTAAGCCTTTTACATACTAACCTACTTATTTGCTATGAAAAAACCTTTAACATTTAACATTACACTTATCGTCGTACATCCCACTATATCTTATCTTGACTTATGCATCTATCACCGCATTATATTGTTATGTTCCATCTTTTTTACATTTTCATCTTAATCCAACGTTTCAACAACTTGCACATTTCTTTAATCTATCTACCTTGTTTCCATTCTTGTTTTTTCTTTTTCCTTTTTAATCCTCATCAACCTCTTTTCTCTCTCTTCTCTTATAGTTTTTTCAATATACTCCCTTTTATATTAATTCAACTCATCATTCTATCTTTTTTTTTTCTTTTTACTTTAAACCATCCTTTGGTTATATAACAATTGTTTACCATTCTGTTCTTTTCCACTAAATACACATATCCTATTTTCTTTTTTTATTCAATACATCTTAATTTAATTGGAGCTCTCACTCTATTATTAATTCTTATTAATAATCTTATTATTCTATTTAATTTCTTCTTCTTTAAGTAATTAGAATATATTCTCCTTTTACGTATTTTTATTTCTTTATATCTTTTATTACGCTTCACGCTTATAATTCTATTTTCGCATCGCCTCTGTGTGTGTGTGTGTGTGTGTGTATGTATAATTAGTAATTATTATATATATATAATATATATATATATAATATATATATATATATAATATAATATATATATAATAATTATTTCTATTTCTGAATACATCTTTTTATTTTTTAATTTTTCCGATATCTTTAGTTCCCACCTATTCCTATTATAACATCTCTTCCTTTTCCCCCTTATTTTCCTCCGTATTTTTTCATTCCCATGACTTCTTTTGTTTCCAAAATTTCCTTACTGAACTTCTTCTTTACATTTTATAATCCTTTTCTCATATTTCATATATCTAGTATATCAAGAGAGCCCTCCCAATGTATTATAATTACAAATCTTAATTTATTTAATATAAATAATTTTCTTAATATCACACATCTTGGTATATAGAAGTTTAACATGTGTGTAAACAACCATTTTATGCAATCCATTATGATTGCGACCTTCAACGTTTTCATGGACTATTGTCGATATTACGAAATTCCTATAAAAATAATATATACAGAGGAAAAGAAAGAGAGAATACATTCTTCACGCTTCGTTTATGAATGTGAATGTTTCCGATCGAAAGGTACTCACGGAGTTATTAATTGCAGACAGTAATTGCAAGACAGCGCCACATTCTAGCGTACTGTGGGAACGTCTTACTATTGTAACACTTAATAGCAAATAAATTATAATGTCTGAGAGGCATCAATACCTTATTCACTTTCTCGTTGCTACATGCATACATTTTCACCGTATTAACCTTGGAACGTTACGCATGCTTTTAAAGGACGTGTAATGTTTTATAAAATCAAAATCTCCAAGTTTGGAAAGTGAAACGATTTTCTAAAAAAATCGTAATAACAAAGTTCCAGTATCAAAATAATATCCTGAAATACAATTCAGGAAATATGAAATATATAATTATTCCAAGGAAGTACTATTATATTTTAAAAACAATACACATACATACACAGACTTAAATTAATGTTTATTCATTAAAATATTTTGCTGTATTTAAGTGAATATCTGAGAGAAAAGAATGTAATTTTAATGCTAAGAAAAGTGAGTACTTAGTTTACTTTTTCTCTTTTAAGTATAATAATAATTATCTTCAATAAGGAATATTTTTTGATAATAATCTTAAAATACGTCATATCACGTTATATAATTGTCAGAAATTTTAGAAAAATTTATTATCACATATACTCGGAAACGATGTTAATTATTCTCTTTTTTTAAGAATTTTATAACATGTATTCTCGTCTATATAAAAAGCGAACCAAATGTTTGTTATATATACAATTTAATATCCTTACCCAATATAATATTCTTGATTAAAGTATTAAATTTATTAAAATTCAATTTTGAATAAATTTATAAATTTGATGTTTATGATAAACTTGTAATAAAATCATGGATATATAAACTTAAAAAGAAAACTTGAAACAAATTACATTTATTCAAATGTAATGTGTATTTTTCTGTATGTAAATATTAATGCGGCTGCACAGCGAAAAAATTTCAATATTTCGGTAAAATATTTTGAAAGATTGTCTCGATCTTCGGATTTCAGTGTCACGACTTTGTAAGAAATCGTCTCATTTGTCAAATCCCGGCACATTCTGCTTCGAGACAATGCATGTTCAGCGTGCTTTTCGGGAATTCTTAAAATCTAGATTAAATGGAGGAGATCATATCGTCGTCGTAGAGATCTACAAATATGGAAATTAGTTCA